CAACAAGGAGAATAGCGCGAACCCAGTTTGAATGGTCGCTCCTTCTCCCATTGGTCGGTACAGACTTCCATGCGGCCAGTGGGAACCCTGCGGCTGTGAGACTGACTCACAGCTCCAGGGACTCCCTGCTGGCGCGCGCCCTTCTCTTCAGCGGATATCCACACTTAGGCATCCGCCGGAGAGAACGTTCTCCTGGGCAGCCAAGAGCCTAGCCTCATAGCTCCCAGATAGGGGATGGGGGCAAGTGATTACAGCTCCCTTGGGAGCAGGTAGAGCAGTCCCCGACAAGGGGACCGAGGACAGGGCGAGCAGACTGGTTCGACATATGAACGCTGCACCCCGCTGGCATTCGGCTAAATGAACCGGTGGCCACACAGGGGCAGCACAAGCTGATTCGGCATACAAATGCTGCCCCCCCCCCGTTGGTGTTCGGCTATATGAACCGGCGGCCACCCAGGGGCAGCACACGCCGCTCATTGCCTTGCGGTCGGTGGCAATTCTAATTGGAATAGCGATGGTCCGGCGCACGGTGTACTGTGTGTATTCAGCAGAATATGTGTGTATTCAGCATTCTGTGTGTGTGTATTCAGCATTCTGTGTGTGTGTATTCAGCAGTGTGTGTATTCAGCAGACTGTGTGTGTATTCAGCAGAATGTGTGTGTGTATTCAGCAGACTGTGTGTGTGTACTCGGCAGAGCTATGTGTGTGTACTCAGCAGAGCTATGTGTACTCAGCAGACTGGGTGTGTGTTCAGCAGACTGTGTGTGTATTCAGGAGTTGGTATGTTTACTCAGCAGACGGTATGTGTACTCAGCAGACTGTGTATTCAGCAGACTGTGTGTGCATATTCAGCAGTCTGTGTGTGTGTGTTTTTAGCAATATGTGTATTCAGCAGTCTGCAGAATACACACAGACAGCTGAGTACACACACACACACACAGACAGCTGAGTACACACACACATACAGCCAGGGCTCGAGTCCTGCAGGAACGCGTGGGAACGGCGTTCCTGCACTTTTTTCACAGCAGGAACGCCGTTCCCCCTGCAGGCACTCAGGGGGCGGCAAAAAATGCCACCCCCAAATGCCCCCCCTTGTTTCCCCTGTCATGGGGGGGGGGCAACCTGATGGATTGCCCCCCTGGCGAACGGCTCTCTCCCTGTCACACGCGGAGAGGGAGCTGTGTGCTCTCTGCTCCCTCTCGCCGCGCGGGATGTCTGCTGATGCTGGGAGCCGGGTTGATGACGTCATATTCCGGCTCCCAGTATCAGCAGACATCCCGCGCGGCAAGAGGGAGCAGAGAGCACACAGCTCCCTCTCCGCGTGTGACAGGGAGAGAGCCGTCCTCACTGCAGCCCCACTGGACCCCAGGGAAAGGTAGGGATGCTGGGTGGGTGGGATATGTTAATTTTTTTATAATATTATTAAGTTGTATATATGTATGTCTGTGTGTGGATGTGGATGTGTGGATGTCTGTGTGTGGATGTGTGGATGTGGATGTGTGGATGTGGATGTCTGTGTGTGGATGTGTGGATGTCTGTTTGTGGATGTATGTATGTCTGTTTGTGGATGTGGATGTGTGGATGTCTGTTTGTGGATGTGTGGATGTCTATTTGTGGATGTGTGGATGTGGATGTGTGGATGTCTGTGTGTGGATGTCTGTGTGTGGATGTGTGGATGTCTGTTTGTGGATGTGTGGATGTCTGTTAGTGGATGTCTGTTTGTGGATGTGTGGATGTATGTATGTCTGTTTGTGGATGTGTGGATGTGGATGTGTGGATGTCTGTTTGTGGATGTATGGATGTCTGTTTGTGGATGTGTGGATGTCTGTTTGTGGATTTGTGGATGTCTGTAGATTTGTGGATGTCTGTTTGTGGATTTGTGGATGTCTGTAGATTTGTGGATGTCTGTAGATTTGTGGATGTCTGTTTGTGGATTTGTGGATGTCTGTTTGTGGATGTGTGGATGTCTGTTTGTGGATGTGTGGATGTCTGTTTGTGGATGTGTGGATGTCTGTTTGTGGATTTGTGGATGTCTGTAGATTTGTGGATGTCTGTTTGTGGATTTGTGGATGTCTGTTTGTGGATGTATGTATGTCTGTTTGTGGATGTGGATGTGTGGATGTCTGTTTGTGGATGGTGTGTGGATGTCTGTTTGTGGATGTGTGGATGTGGATGTCTGTGGATGTGTGGATGTCTGTGTGTGTGGATGTCTGTGTGGATGTGTGGATGTATGTATGTTTGTGGATGTGTGTGGATGTGGATGTGGATGTCTGTTTGTGGATGTGTGGATGTCTGTTTTGTGGATGTGTGTGGATGTCTGTTTGTTGGATTTGTGGATGTCTGTAGATTTGTGGATGTCTGTTTGTGGTTGTGGATGTCTGTAGATTTGTGTGGATGTCTGTGTAGATTTGTGGATGTCTGTCTGTGGATGTGTGTGGATGTCTGTTTGTGGATGTGTGTGGATGTCTATTTGTGGATGTCTGTGGATGTGTGGATGTCTGTGGATGTGTGGATGTCTGTGGATGTCTGTGTATGTGTGGATGTCTGTTTGTGGATGTCTGTTTGTGGGTGTCTGTTTGTGGGTGTCTGTTTGTGGGTGTCTGTTTGTGGGTGTCTGTTTGTGGATGTCTGTATGTGGATGTCTGTATGTGGATGTCTGTATGTGGATGTCTGTATGTGGATGTGTGGATGTGGATGTGTGGATGTCTGTTTGTGGATGTGTGGATGTCTGTTTGTGGATGTGTGGATGTCTGTAAATTTGTGGATGTCTGTTTGTGGATTTGTGGATGTCTGTAGATTTGTGGATTTGTGGATGTCTGTTTGTGGATGTGTGGATGTCTGTTTGTGGATTTGTGGATGTCTGTAGATTTGTGGATGTCTGTTTGTGGATTTGTGGATGTCTGTGGATTTGTGGATGTGGATTTGTGGATGTCTGTGTGTGGATGTCTGTTTGTGGATGTGTGGATGTCTGTTTGTGGATGTGTGGATGTCTGTGTGTGGATGTGTGGATGTCTGTTAGTGGATGTCTGTTTGTGGATGTGTGGATGTCTGTGTGTGGATGTGTGAATGTGGATGTCTGTTTGTGGGTGTGGATGTCTGTTTGTGGATGTGTGGATGTCTGTGTGTGGATGTGTGGATGTGTGTGGATGTGTGGATGTCTGTTAGTGGATGTCTGTTTGTGGATGTGTGGATGTCTGTTTGTGGATGTATGTATGTCTGTGTGTGGATGTCTGTGTGTGGATGTGTGGATGTCTGTTTGTGGATGTGTGGATGTCTGTTGGTGGATGTCTGTTTGTGGATGTGTGGGTGTCTGTTTGTGGATGTGTGGATGTCTGTTTGTGGATTTGTGGATGTCTGGATGTGTGGATGTCTGTTTGTGGATGTGTGGATGTCTGTTTGTGGATGTGTGGATGTGGATGTCTGTTTGTGGATGTGTGGATGTCTGTTTGTGGACGTGTGGATGTCTGTTTGTGGACGTGTGGATGTCTGTTTGTGGATGTGTGGATGTCTGTTTGTGGATGTGTGGATGTCTGTTTGTGGATGTGTGGATGTCTGTTTGTGTGGATGTCTGTTTGTGTGGATGTCTGTTTGTGTGGATGTCTGTTTGTGGATGTCTATTTGTGGATGTGTGGATGTGGATGTCTGTTTGTGGATGTGGATGTCTGTTTGTGGATGTGTGGATGTCTTTTTGTGGATGTGTGGATGTCTGTTTGTGGATGTGTGGATGTCTGTTTGTGGATGTCTGTTTGTGGATGTGTGGATGTCTGTTTGTGGATGTGTGGATGTCTGTTTGTGGATGTGTGGATGTCTGTTTTGTGGATTTGTGGATGTCTGGCAGATTTGTGGCGGATGTCTGTTTGTGGATGTCTGTTTGTGGATGTCTGTTTGTGGATGTGTGGATGTCTGTTTGTGGATGTGTGGATGTCTGTTTGTGGATTTGTGGATGTCTGTAGATTTGTGGATGTCTGTTTGTGGATTTGTGGATGTCTGTTTGTGGATTTGTGGATGTCTGTTTGTGGATGTGTGGATGTCTGTTTGTGGATGTATGTATGTCTGTTTGTGGATGTGTGGATGTGGATGTGTGGATGTCTGTTTGTGGATGTGTGGATGTCTGTTTGTGGATGTGTGGATGTCTGTTTGTGGATTTGTGGATGTCTGTAGATTTGTGGATGTCTGTTTGTGGATTTGTGGATGTCTGTTTGTGAATTTGTGGATGTCTGTTTGTGGATTTGCGGATGTCTGTTTGTGGATGTGTGGATGTGGATGTGTGGATGTCTGTTTGTGGATTTGTGGATGTCTGTTTGTGGATGTGTGGATGTCTGTTTGTGGATGTGTGGATGTCTGTTTGTGGATTTGTGGATGTTTGTGGATTTGTGGATGTCTGTTTGTGGATTTGTGGATGTCTGTTTGTGGATGTGTGGATGTCTGTGTGTGGATGTGTGGATGTCTGTTTGTGGATGTGTGGATGTCTGTTTGTGGATGTGTGGATGTCTGTGGATGTCTGTTTGTGTATGTGTGGATGTCTGTGTATGTGTGGATGTCTGTGGATGTCTGTTTGTGTATGTGTGGATGTCTGTTTGTGTATGTGTGGATGTCTGTGGATGTCTGTTTGTGTATGTGTGGATGTCTGTTTGTGGATGTGTGGGTGGATGTGTGGATGTCTGTTTGTGGATGTGTGGATGTCTGTGGATGTGTGTTTGTGGATGTGTGTTTGTGGATGTGTGGATGTCTGTTTGTCTCAGTGTGTGTAGGAGTGTATTTATGTCTGTTAGCGTTTGTACGTGTGTATGTGAGTGTATGTGCTTCTGTTAGTGTATGCATGTGTATGTTTGCAATTGCATGTATGTGCATACGTTATTGTAAGTTTCTGTCAAATAAGTGAGAGTCTGTCATTTAGTGTGTGTGTGACTATTAGTGTGTGTCTCTCTGTCAATGAATGAGTGTGTGTCAGTGAATGTGTGTGTCAAATCAGTGACGTATGTGTGTGTTACTTACAGTGTGTATCTGCCAGTGTGGGTGTCTGTCAGAGAGTGTGCTTAAAGGGACACTATAGGCACCCAGACTACTATAGCTCCTTGAAGTGGTCTGGGTGCAGTGTCCCAGTCCCCTTAAACCTTCTCAGAAACTGCAATAATTACCTGAGGAGTAACTCCAAGTCTAGTGGCTGTCTATCAGACAGCCACTAGAGGGACTTTCGGGTGGTTAGGTGACCAAAAGTCACCTAATTGATGCTGGACGTCCTCACCCTGTGCATGAGGACATCCAGCATCTGCTAAATACCCATAGGATTTTAACCCCTTCAGTGTCGAGTGGGGGAGGGGAGGACATGAGAGGAGGGGGGCACTATATGGAATTATAGTGCCAGGAAAACAACTTTGTTTTCCTGGCACTATAGTATTTCTTTAAAAGGAGCAGGGAAAGGTGGAGTCTAAAGAGGAAGGGGTGGGCTCTTAATCAGGAAGTGGTGCACCCTTGACATGAAGGAGTGGTAAATTTAGATTAGGGGGGTGCTCTATAGTCATGTCTAGGGCAGCATAAAATTAAAATACACCACTGTGTGTGTGTGTGTGTGTGTGTGTGTGTATATATATATATATATATATATATATATATATATATATATATATATATATATATATATATATTACATATAAACATACATACATATATATATATAAACATACATACAAGTGTTTTGGGTTTTTTTGGGGAGAGTTCCCACACTTTTTTCCCCAGGACTTGACCCCTGTATAAATCCATTATCATCACTCTCTTCATTAGCATTGTGATGACTTATTAATGTAATACATCTCAAAAGCAGGATTGTCCTAATGTTCTGACCAATCCATATTCCTTAGTACACTTCAACTGACTAAATTAAAATAAAATAAAATAAACCTGGGATCATACTGCCCAGAAACTCTTTGTAGCGGAGATGCAATATTCCCCAGGTTGTCTCCGCTTATAATCCAAGTGAGGCTCAGGAACAAGTAAATAATAAATCCATAGGCAAAGTTTCCAGCAGGTAAAATAACAGCAATCTCCCCACAGCAATCCCAATAACTGGACGACACACAGTTTCAGGAGCAGAACTGACAAGCCTTTAATCACAGTCTCCTTATAAAGCATGCTCCCATGCAAGGGAGGGATTACAGTAATTATTACAGTAGCCAATCCTGTCCTGGTAACCTCCCACACATCTCCTCCCCTCAGCCAGCATCATAATCCCCTTATCCAGTACACCAATTCCCCCCGTTTCTGGATGTACCCCTAAACGTAGGGGTACCTCTTTAAATCCTACATCCCCTGGTAGCCCTGATCTGGGTGAACAACATATCCAAAAATCACCCAGATCAGACCAGGGGTTCGGGAAAAGTATGGAGGGAATAAAATGACCGACCGCACGAACTGAGATAGCCGAATTCGGTTCCATGTGAATGGGCCCTGCGGTCGGTCCTGGCATAAGGGAATAAAATACACGAAAACCTCTAGCTATAGAGGCTAGGGAGGGTTCGCCTGAATCCCCTCGTTCGGTATTCTCTATCTACCGAACGAGGGGCCGTTCGGTAGTTTGGAACCGAACGGACCAGGGCTGTGGAGGTCTCAGCGGTGTTCGCCTACTCGAGTGTCCGATTTTAGTTCCAGACACTCGACGGCTAAACACCGCTGTTCGGGAGTTTTAAAATGGCCGCCGCCACGTGTTCGTTTGTCGAATGGCGGCCACCCCCGAGAACAAAGGACGGCTACTTACTGTTCAATTACCCGTTCGCAACAATGTTGCAACGGGTAATTGAGGACACACTTCACACAGGGGAGGTCTGGTTGTTCGGTAGTTTCATTCGAATAAACTAAGGGAACGAAACTACCGAACAATCACAAGAATACAAGGCTTTAAAACACATAGGAAACTACAGATCACACGAATGCAATTATTTCACAGACATTTGCAGGACAGCCCAGTGCCATCCGCTACACTCTTATTCCTAGTCTGTGTCTTACAAACTCAGGCAAATCATAAAACAACGTATAACAACGTATTAATTCATTGGATACAATCATATCCAGTAACCTATTCTCCCTAGTTCATACCTTTTATGGACTTAGGTCAAATATAATTGTGTACTATACTCCTTCAATTCAATTCCTCTTGGATCTCTCATATCCAAGGCATTCTTAATGTATACCATTACTTAATATTAATCAATATAAATTATCCTTTCTTAGTTTTTTTCCTTATGTTACCATTGTTTGTTTTACTTCACCTCGATATAAACAAATTACTCATTCTTGTGAATCTATGAAATACTATTGCACTCAATCTTTGTAGTATTAAGTAACCATGATCCTTATTTTATCCACTTCATATTTTATCTACCTCTGATACTTCTCATCCTATGTATCGGTCATAATATAATAGTTATCTTCATAAACTGTATAATAGTATCCTATCATAATTTTACTCCATGTGTTATATTATTATTATTATTATTATTGCCATTTATATAGCGCCAACAGATTCCGTAGCGCTTTACAAAATTATGAGAGGGGATTTAACTATAAATAGGACAATTACAAATAAACTTACAGGAACAATAGGTTGAAGAGGACTCTGCTCAATCGAGCTTACATTCTATAGGAGGTGGGGTGTAAAACACATTAGGACAGGAATTTGCAATCAAATGAGGTGGGCTGCCCTTTAGGAGAGGGCAAGAGACAGGTATGTGAGGTAGGGGTTAGTCTTGGAGGCCATAAGCTTTCCTAAAGAGATGGGTTTTAAGGCACTTCTTAAAAGATGCAAGACTAGGGGAGAGTCGGATGGCGGTAGGCAGGCTATTCCATAGGAAGGGAGCCGCCCGCGAGAAGTCCTGCAAGCGCGAGTTGGCCGTACGGGTGCGGACAACGGACAGGAGGTGTTCACGGGCAGAGCAGAGAGGCCGAGAAGGGACATACCTGTGGATCAGTGAGGAGATATAAGAGGGGCTAGAGTTGTTCAGTGCTTTATAGGTGTGAGTTAGTGCCTTGAATTGACTCCTATAGCACACAGGAAGCCAATGTAAGGACTGGCAGAGGGGTGAGGTGTGAGAGTACCGACTAGAGAGGAAAATCAGTCTAGCAGCAGCGTTCATTACAGACTGTAGGGCTGCAGTACGGCTTTTGGGAAGACCAAGCAGGAGGGGGTTACAATAATCCATGCGGGAAATTACTAGAGCATGGACAAGCTCCTTGGTAGTATCTGGTGCAAGAAAGGGGCGGATGCGGGCTATGTTTTTAAGATGGAATCTACAGGATTTGGCAACATGCTGGATGTGAGGCTCAAAGGTGAGACGAGTCAAGTATGACGCCAAGACAGCGCGCTTGCAAGGATGGGCTGATATTGGTACCACAAACTTGAAGGGAGAGCGAAAGAAGAGGATCAGTATTAGGAGGAGGAAATACAAGGAGCTCAGTTTTTGAGAGATTGAGTTTCAGAAAGTGGAGGACATCCAGTCAGAGATGGAAGAAAGGCAAGCAGTGACACGTTGCAGGACAGCAGGGGAGAGGTCCGGGGAGGAGAGATATAGCTGGGTGTCATCAGCGTAGAGGTGGTAGTTGAAACCAAATGAGGTGATAAGTTTGCCAAGAGAGGCAGTATAAAGAGAAAATAGAAGGGGACCAAGGACGGAGCCTTGGGGGACTCCAACCGAGACAGGGCGAGGGGAGGAGGTATCATTAGAAAAAGAGACACTGAATGAGCGTTGGGAGAGATAAGAGGAAAACCATGAGAGGACAGAGTCACAGAGACCAAGCGATTGCAGGGTTTGAAGAAGGAGAGCATGATCAACGGTGTCAAAGGCCGCTGAGAGGTCAAGAAGAATTAGTATGGAGTAGTGGCCTTTGGATTTAGCTGCGATTAGGTCGTTAGTAACTTTGATAAGGGCAGTCTCTGTAGAGTGGAGAGGGCGGAAGCCAGATTGAAGGGGGTCAAAGAGAGAGTTGGAATTGAGGAAATGAGACACACGGGTTATATAGTTATAAGTACTCTCTTTTGGTATTAATACACTCATAACTGTTAAATAACTTTTCATTGTCTCTTTTCTTCTTTGTTAAAGGACCACTATAGTGCCAGGAAAACATACTTGTTTTCCTGGCACTATAGTGCCCTGAGGGTGCCCCCACCCTCATGGACCACCTCCCGCCCGGCTCTGGAAGGGGGAAAGGGTTAAAAACTTACCTTTTTCCAGCGCTGGGCGGAGAGCTCTCCTCCTTCTCTCCTCCTCCTCCTGGGCTGAATGTGCACGCGCGGCAAGAGCTGTGCGCGCATTCAGCCCGTCGCATAGGAAAGCATTTACAATGAGACAGCCACTAGAGGATTAGGGGGAAGGCTTAACCCATTCATAAACATAGCAGTTTCTCTGAAACTGCTATGTTTATAAAAAATGGGTTAACCCTAGAAGGACCTGGCACCCAGACCACTTCATTAAGCTGAAGTGGTCTGGGTGCCTAGAGTGGTCCTTTAATATTTAGGAATTGTTATGTATGTTAGTGCCAATCTTTTATTTCTTTGTATGTCTGTTAATCTTCTGTATCGAATGAACAGTCCAGTTGTCTGGAGGAATGCTTTCCTGATTTATTGCCACAAGGATCTGTCACGCTTTACCTACATTAAAACAAAAAAAACATGTGCAGCATCAATACAATGGCTTACAATGTTTATATCTCATTATTATTATACAGTTTAACATTGAATTACATTGACTACACAAAACATACTCATTTCTTCTCATGAGATCAACCATCTAGTGGTCATTACATTTATGCCATGTGATGTATAATCTTTAAATTTCCTTTATATTAAAATCTTTCTGAACATTTAAATTTGCCAAACTTTTTATTAATCATACCCCCCTTTTAAACTGTTTAATAATCTGGAGGTATAGCCTAATCACATGTCAGATGTTATAAAAAAATATTGTTTTCCACTATACTTTAGCAAGAGCAGCCATCTTGTCTTAATACTGGCACCATTTTGTCACATGAAACAAACTACAAAAACATATATTGTTTCCTACATCAAATCTATCTGCAAATCTAGGTTTTATCCTATCAAAACTTTCATCTTCTATATAATCCAAACATATGTATGTCCAGGCTTTGCAAAATATAGTAATCCATTATCAGTCATGACATTAAAATATCATTCTCATGAATTAAATCAAAGATTTTAAATCAACCTCAGATGCAACAATGAATATATCCATTGTTTTTTTTCCTTCTGTAAAATGATTGGAGTTACTGTATAATCACATACACTCAATATAACATACATGGCATGTTCCTAACTGCTACATTAGTGTATTTCATTCTGCCATATTTGCAAACTTGATGTAAATTTTTATTTTAATGAATTAACCTAATACTTTCTTATAACACACATAAAAACAATGAAAAACAGTTCAGAATAACAATTCATTAAAACAACAAACTAACATAGATCGCTGTTCTTGTGTGCTGTCCTTAATTCTGGAATCAGCCTGTGTACATCTGTTGGCACACATATCCATGCTCATTCCCTAAACTGATCATATCTCTTGAAGTTATCTGATCCTTATAACTTTCTGTGTTACACTGCATTGCTTGTCTGTCTCCTAATTTCGATTTAGCTAAAATTGCTCTTATTTGTCTGATTATCAGTTTACAAGGAAAGGCTTTTATTGATTTATCTCTACATGTATTTTCTCTGTCAAAATTTTCAATCAACAAATTTAATTTCTCATTTGCTTTTGATTTGATAGCTCGGATAAAATATCTGCAAGATCTTAAATAATGTTGTTTATTGCACCAAAAACAAATAACTTTAGGAGTTATATTCTGCCTTTGATTTGAGCAAATTAGGAGTGGCTCAGCTGTCTGTATCACTCTTTCACACTCTGTCCTAGAAAAAGGAGGAGGGGGACGAGGGGTGTCAAATCTGCACTTCTTTCTCTGCCTAATTCCACAGGTCATTTTAACCCCTTCATTATTGGTTACTCTCCTTAAGTTATCCAAGAATAAAGCAACATCATTCAAAGTGCTTTTTTTCTCTAGCTAACACAATTGCAGTTGGATCTAGATCTTGAAAATTTTTCACAAATTCATTAATTAACTGATCCTCAGAAAAAGGTCAATATGCAATTTTCAAATTTTACAAGAAAACTAAATATATCGTCTTCAATGTGTGGTTTTAAATTTTGCAAATTATGCATTTTCAAATTTTACAAGAAAACTAAATATATCCTCTTCAATGTGTGGTTTTAGTTTTTCCAACATTTCTGCAAAATCATTCCCTATTATTAATTTTATTAATTGTGTTAATCCGTCTTGCTTATTTCCTTTTTTTTTTTTTTTGGAAATGCACTGTTATTCAGATGTTGATTTTTTTTATACCTTGTACATGTAAAGAAAATCTTGCCCAGACATATTAAGTGCTTAGACATTTACCTCACAGAAATGCTGCTTCCTTTGATGTGATTGAACCCAGAAATCGAAATAAATAAAAGTTATACTCTTGAATCGTATATGCATCTAAGTCAATTTTTTTCCGATATGTATTTGTTCAAAATTAGCATTTTTTACAAATATGTTTGCTTGCATGGTCTGTTCTGTTCAATGCAAAAGTAACTCAGAGAGACTTGGGTCTTAAGTTTCCTAGCAGACAGACGATCAGAATTACTATTATCAATATTTTTTTAACAAAGCACTAGAAATGATCCCATAAAAATTTAACACATTCTTTTTTTTTTCTTTCCTTTTTTTATTATTAAAACATTTTTTCATACATTAACAAATAATAAAGTGCATACAGAAACAAGACAAGTGTGACAATGACAAAAAAACAAAACAAAAAAAAAACCATATAGTTTACATTGTTACAACTGATTTAAACCTATATATTAGGTAAATCTCAAGCTAGACAGCTAAAGATCTCACAGTACAAATATATTCTATATCTTATAGAATTATCATCTAGCAAAAAATAGATATAGATGTGTAAATATAAATACATATATATATGGGCCATGGTCAGTCTGAAAATCTAAAAGGAAGTATCCCTATAATAAGAATTTTATTAGGGTCTACCGCAATCCAAGCAGGAAGAGGTACAAAGGATTAATTTATTTGTTTTCTAAGATCCGTATCCAATTTATATATTGATCTTGTTTTTTTAAAGATAATATAGAAGGAAGTGGTAAATCTTTTTTCCATTTGAAATTGATATAGAATTTGATTGACAAGCTGACTCTTCAAAAAAGGGAGATGTGACTTCCATTGCCTTGCTATTATTATTTTTACTGCCAGGAAACAATGGTTTACAAGGCATTTAGATGGAGTGGAAGAGAGTTTCCAGTTTAAATGTAACAATGCTGTATCTGGGCCTTTTTTGATTGTGATATTAAATAAACATTTAAGAATTTCGAAGGACCACTCCCAAAGGTTTTTAACCAATTTACAATGCCACCATATGTGAACAAGTGTTCCCTCTGTAGAGCCACAACGCCAGCAGTGAGAAGTTTGACCTGGGTACATCTTAGCTAATTTATATGGAGTCAGATACCATTTATACATAACCTTATATTGACATTCAAATAAATTCTGACAATGAATGTATTTACGAGTGTCTCTAAGAGACATACACCATTCCTGCTCAGTTATATCAATCTTTAGGATATTTTTCCATTTATCAAGTATATTTAAGGGTTGTTGATCAAGGTTGGATAACAAATTAGTAGCTTTTGAAAGAATTTTATTAACCTTGGTATATCTAAAAATAGTTTGAAAAAGAATATAAATTTTTGGTGACATATTTAATAAAAACATATTTTGAAAATTTTTTATTCTTAAATAAGAGAAAAATTCTTTGTTAGGGAGATGAAGTTTAGTTTGAATGTCCACAAAGGGTAGAATTTGATCATCATGGAGGATATCTCCAATCGTCCATTGATATTTAGACCATTTATTTAAAGAAATAGCCTCAATATTATCTTCTAAAATGATCAAATGAGATGACTTAATTATTTTATCAGAGATTTTATTTTTGTTTTTTTATCTTCTCCCAAGCGCTAATAATTTGTGACAAAATTAATGATTTGCTACATAAAAATTCTATCGTCTTTTGTTATTTTTAAGCCATAAATACATTTCCAATCTATCTTTTCCAACTGCCTCGGATTCAATTAGGTACCATGTGTCTGTTTTAAACGATTCAACCTGCAATTTATATATATGACCAATAATGTTAGCGTAATAACAATTTCTAATATTTGGATAATTTATACCTCCATTTTGAGGTTTCCTAGAGAGAACTTTAGAACTTATTCTAGACCTCGTCGTTTTCCAGATAAATTTTTGAAAACTAGATTGTATCATGGTTAACCAAATTTCTGGAATTTGAAGAGGAATCATCCTAAATAAATAGGACCATTTGGGCATAATATAAGCATTAATTATGTTAATCCTGCCGATCCAAGAGGATTCGGTCAGGCGCCATTCTTTTAATTTTATATTTGTATATTTTAAGAGATTCAAAACATTTATTTCCATAATATTGTTAACTTGAGATGAAATTGTCAAGCCCAAATAATTAAAGACTCTGTTAGTCCATACAAAGTCATAATTCGGAGAGCTTTTAAACTGCAAATATCAACATTAGTAGTTACAGCAATTGATTTAGATATATTGAGTTATAGCAGATAAAACTTGCGGAAGAGAGGATTCTGGAGAAGTAAGTGTTAATAATATATCATCGGCATAAAGTGATATTTTTGCTTCTAAATTTTTAATTGGAAAACCTGTGATATTGAAATTGTTCCTAATATTAATAGCTAAGGGTTCCAAAGTTAAAATATAAAGAAGGGGTGATAAAGGACAGCCCTGGCGTGTGCCATTATGTAGACTAAACCAATTTGATTGAATATTTACACCTACAGTTCTAGCTGTTGGTTCAGAGTAAAGTGCCAAAATGGCATCATGAATCCAGCCTATGAATCCAAAAGAAGTCAGTACCTCGTCGAGGAAGCGCCAACTGACCCTGTCAAAGGCCTTCTCGGCATCCAACGACAGGGTCAGCAGCGGAATCTCCCGACGGAGTGCACCATCCAAAATATTCACTATTCTTCTAGTGCATGTATCAGAAGATCTACCTGGCAAAAATCCAACCTGATCAGAATGAACGACTCTCTCAACAAGTAGTTTCAATCTAGATGCTAAAACTGCTGCATATATTTTCATATCTGTATTGATTAAAGAAATTGGTCTGTAATTTTTAACATCAGTTGGATCTTTATTTGGTTTTAGTATTGGAAGAATATTGGCTTGTAATAACTCCTTTGGTGTTTTAGCCATTTTGGCCATTTCATTAAAAAGAGCCGTTAAAGGAGCCGTTATCTCTTTTTTCATTACTTTATAGAAAAGATTAGAGAAGCCATCCGGACCGGGGGTCTTATTTAATTGAAGTCTATCGATCTCTTTTTCGACCTCATCTATCGTAAACTCATAATTAAGTTGGGCTAACTCTTGATTGTTAATTTTTGGAATATCAATCTTATCCAAATATTGTTTAATATCTTGACTATCTGATGATATATCCAAATCATATAGTTTACTATAAAATTCGTTGAATAGTTGCCCAATTTTTTCTGGGGAGGAATATGTATTTTGATCCGCGACCAATTTATTGATCCTATTATTTGAATTTTGCTTTTTTAATCTTTTAGTTAAGTTTTTATTTGCTTTATTACTTTGATGGTAAGTATTTAATCTCAATTTATTGATTGTCTTTCTAATCTTTTCTTCTGTCTTTAAGTTAATTTGTTTTTGTAATTCTAGAAGTGCTAATCTTAATTGAGTGGTTGGAAACTCTTTGTTCGTTTTAGACAGGTTAAAATATTGAATATTTAGATCTGTTAGATCTCTATTTATCATAGTTTTAGATTGTTTTTCAATTTTAATAAGATAGCCTCTAATGACCGCTTTATATGAAGACCATAGAGTAGAATCTAAAATATCAGGAGTAGAATTTTCAAGCCAAAAGAACCTTGAAAGTTTAATTATGGTGTCTTGATTTATTTTAACTTTAAAGAGAGAGTCGTCCATTCTCCAGGAGTCAGTAGATCTCTGTAAGATCCTACCTATCTCTAATATTAGAAAACTATGGTCAGACCAAGTATTATCCTTAATTTGAATTGTATTGATCTCTTTCAAAGTATTAGCTTGTACTAAGCATAGATCGATTCGTGAATACGAATTGTGCACTTTAGACAAGTGCGTATAATCTCGTAGATCTGGGTGAGTTACCCGCCAGACATCATATAAACCATGCATGGAACATAAATTAGAGAGGGTTTTTGATTGTTTGTATAGATGGCTTTCAGATTTCAATTGAATATGGTTTTTTTTATCCATTACTGGATCAAAAACACAATTAAAATCGCCTGCTATCAATAAAGTACCTATTGTTTTATTTTCTAATCTATTCATGATTTTTGAAAACAGGGCAGTTGGATTAATATTTGGTAAGTATATATTAACCAAAGTATAAGTTATAGATTCTATTTTGCAGATAATTATAAGAAATCTGCCATTAAGGTCACTGTCTATTAATTTTACTTCAAGTTTTAAATCAGAATCGAATATGATTGCCACCCCAGATTTTTTATTATTTGGGAGAGATGCATGATATATATATTTGTATTTATGCCCCATCCATTTTAGCGACTCAGATCTCAACCAGTGCGTTTCTTGGAGAAAGGCTATTTGTATTTGGTTAGAAACCAAGGAATCATAAAGCATCTGCTTTTTCCACCGTGTATTTAAACCTTGTACATTTATAGACATAATTTTCAGCATTTAACTTTCAGAAATTTTGTAAACACTATCTCGATAGTACCAAATAATTTGGGACATAAAAATGATATTATTCAGACTGACCATAGCCCAATTAGTACAACAATGCAAATAACACATACCAAAACATAAAAACTTCTGATGAAACAAACGTTTCACCAACATTCAACAGTGTACATCCCAAGGCTAATAGCCATGGGTTCACTTGATCTTCCATCTTAGAAGATAAGAGAATATCTGTGAAAACATCACAGAAAGAGGGGATTAAGATCAGGCGTCTAAGGGCTTAATATATATTTGGAATAGAGGTACTAGGCAGAGAAAGAGGAGGATAGCCTCAGATTAATAAACATCTACCAATTTTCAACATTTGTGAGAAAAAAAAAAAAAATTCCTCTTGTACACCTAATTAGGTTTCTTTAGCTTTCCATTTCTTCTTTCTTTTTTCTTTCTTTTTCTCTTTCCCTCTCTTCCTCTCCCCCCCTTTCATTTCTATCTTATTTTACTATTGCTTTTCCTTTTATTATTTGTTTTTTCTTTAAATGTTAAAAAAAAATAATAATAAGTGAACAAATATATTAATTATAACTGTGCATGTGAGAATTATCATCTTTTAAGTGTTATAAATTTTATGTTAATTATACCCCCAAACATACTTAATTTTCTTATTTATAATACAGAACGTGGTCATTCCCTACAATTAGCTTGTAGAAGATATTTAGAAAAGCATTTTTTTTACAGTGAACTTCAAAAACTATATATTTGTGACTTTAATTTTCTCCGACCTCTTAGTCTTCTCAATACCTCTAAAACCCTTAAAGTCTCTATCAAGTTTAATTTAATGATTTGTTCTGTAACCATGTCTTTAGCTTATCTGGTTGATCAAAAGACTCTATTTTTCCATCCATTTGGATAATCATCTTTGTGGGATAGCTCCATCTAAATCTGATATTATGTTGCTTGAGGATATTAATTCCAGATGAAAACATTCTTCTCTTGTTTCTGGTATTATAAGATAGATCTGGAAGTGCTATGATATGTGCATATGGACCATCTTTTATACGTTTCTCTCTGTTGGCTTTTAAAACTTGTTCTTTAAATTCAAACGAATGAAAACAAGTAATTATATCTCTTGGGGTATCAGATGTTATATTTGATGGTTTATGCAGTCTATGGCATCTTTCAAATTTCTCATTGTGGCCGTCCAATTTTAAACCTAAGGCTTTAAAGTAATAGTGTAGCATATATTCCAAATTTTCTTGTTTATTGGAATCCTCAAAATTACGGAACCTCAGGTTTTTCCTACGAGATCTATCTTCAAGATCTTCTATTTTGTTTTCAAGATTATGAATTTTTGATGTCAGTAAATTTACTTCTTCGTTCGTTGATACTATTTGAAAGTCAACATTCTTCAATCGATCTTCCATGACTTGGAATTTTTCAGTTAACTTAAAAATTTCTATAGAGTTTTTTGAAATTTCACTCTTTATTTCTTCCAAAATAGATTGTAGACTTTCATTCAAAACTTTAGTAGTAATTTCTTCCTGTTCTTTATTATCTTTATTTATATCCATAGCAGATGGCTTTAAATTTGTTAACGATGATCTCGATTTGTTCCCTTTTGAGTCTTTAGATTGAGGAGAAAAAAATATGTCTAAGTTTTTTTCTTGATGTACTTCTCCTTTATCTCCTTTGTCTCGATTTGATACAGATTTGGATTCTTGGACTTGAACTATTTTTTTGGGAGCCATCAGCTTCCTTGTATTTTGCACTCCTTCTGGTTTATCTTCACTCACTTTCCTTTTTATGTAATTATTATTTACAATTTCTCTTTTTTTTCCCTTTTTCTTTTCCTTTGTTTTCCTCCTTCCTTTTCTTTTCTTTACCTTCAGTTTGTTTCCTTTTTTATTTCCTCCTTTTTTATTTATTTATTTATTTATTATTATATTTTTTATTTATTTATTTATTTTTTCTTTTTTACTTTTCACTTTCTCTTTAAAAATATATGGGTAAATATATAAAGTGAACACAATTCTCTTGTTTTTTTTTATTTTAAACACTGTGAGACGAAATTTAGTGAGAAAGGAAGGAAAACAACAAAAAACAATAGAAAGGAAATTTCTTATCTTTTAAATGAAGCCTCTTATCATCTAGATGGAGTTTCAACCTTGATCCTTGAGCGCCGAGAGTCGCCGTTCCACGGCGCAACCAACCATCAGATGCTCCAACGAGCACTCCCACCACTCGACCCGTGGGCCAACCGACCACACAGGGTCCCAGTGAGGGTATCAGTGAGTATATAGAGTATATATATTATATTGTTTTCAGAAGGGTGCAGATAAAGTGCAAACAATGTCTTTTCGGCGAATATTGTAGCTCGCTGTTACCATTCAGTATCACAGTTATCCAGAAAAAGCTCAGTGATTTTAATAGTTCAACTTACATTCCGCCTGGAATATAGAATTCTTTTTTGGAAGGAACTTGAGGAGACTTAATAGGGCTGAAAAATCCCAAAAGCATCCGACGGGGTTTTCAATCTATCGGTGGGTCGGCGTCTCACAGCATTTTGCAGCGCTCACAGCTCCTAGACCGCCATCACAATCCCCTCCTCACGACGCACGATGCACGGCTACGTCCTGCGTCCGTCCCACGCCCACATTCTAGTTAAATTGACCCCGTCTTGCTTATTTCCATATATTATTTTATCATTGTCCTCACATTTTACAAGCGTGGTCAGCCTACATGCCATTTGAGTCGGCAGCCATATTTTAAATAGTCTATTCCTTTGTTTGTCATTAAGGCTGTATTTGTCCAAATTTGACTCAAACATTTCAGCATTAGTAAATGCATCCACTGACGTGTCATAAACTGGAATACATTTCACAATTTTCAGTAATTGTTCATGGATTTTCAAATTACGTTTTGCAGCACTGTCTTGAAATTTACATTTCTGCAAATCACTCTGTGAGGATACATTTTCAGTATCTGTTGGTTCTGGGATTAGATTTTGTGCCTGTATTTTTCTTGTATTAACACACACTTGCTTAGCTTCATTTCTAAGATGGCAAAAAAAGATCATTTCTTAATTCAACTCTATCCTCTAGTTCACAGACTGTTTCTGACAATCTCTCACAATTACAGCATGTGCTCTCTGTTACTTTGTTACTGTAACGGATCACCTGGCACCCCGACTGGGTACCTCCGTTAAAGGATGCTCCTAGCGCTTCCTGAGGATCCAAGCACTGCAGCAGACACCACAATCACCGAACCGGAGAAACAAATAAATTCTCCCAAGCATATGAATGCTGTAGACAGTTGAATAGGAACCATAGGTTTACTCTCCTAGCAGTCAAACTGGAACAGCATACAATAAATCCTTCCCCCAATAATGAGACGACACTTCACTTTGAGGGTTAAAACAGGAACTCTCTGTAATGGCCACACACTGGCTTTTATGCAAGTCCCCATGCAAGGGGACATCCCACAGGGTGGGACACAGTACAACCAATCGTTACAGGGGAACCATAAAACACACCCACATTTACATCACAATCCCTCCTCTCTGTCCAGGAGATAACTGTGAAGTAATCCAATTATCTCCCAGGACAGAGGCAAGACTCAATTAACCACATGGCAGTAACAATACAATAAAAGACTTAAAATTACATACAGTTACATTTATTCCATAAAACATAGACATTCTACATATCCCCAGATATCTTAGATCTGAGTGCACATTACTACCGAATGGCGCTCAGATCACATAAATACAGTTCAATCGCCATGGAGCCAAAGTCTTTCATACAGTCTTTCAGTATACGGCTGGGCTCCATGGCATAGCTATCTGGGATAGCATGGCTTTAACAGTCTACAGAAAGGCATGAATACGCTTTGCAGGGAAAATAAAAGGTTTTAACTGCCGGGCCATAGTCTAAAGGGAGCAAGCGAGCAACCAGGCTCTTCCAGTGGACAGTGGCGAGGCTGGTTTCGCCACATTTCTCCCCTTTACCATCCAGACTAACAGGGTATCTGACCTCCTGTCGGTCAGTGCCCTGGTTAGTCCAGCAACCCACCCACGAAGCACAAACAGCAGTACCTCCCACCCACAATAAATGTTTACCCCACCTGGATAAAGTATCAGCTTGTCCAGGTCCAGGTTCCTCACCACGGCTGTGCGGGGAGCTGGTAGACTGCCTTGGTGGGTTGCTGAGTGGGCAGAGACCAGCGGTACTCTGCCCTGGTGCCAGTGCTACCACTGAAGTAGCCTGGTTGGAGCCTGGTTGTGGGAGGGGGAGACCGACCGTCTCCCCTCTGGGTACACAGCTCTGGGGCTGGGGGACAGGACCGACCGTCCCTACCTCTTGTGCTGCAAGTGCAAAGACTACGGTCCCATCTGCACTGTTGGGGGGTGTAACATCTCCCCTTGGTGGGTTAGGCTGCCGCTGGAGAGAGGGTGTAACAAGCTCCTCTCTCTGAACTGTAACCTGCCGCTGGGGAGAGGGGGTAGCAGGCTCCTCTCCCTGACACTCTCTCTGCTGGTGGTGAGGGGGACCAGCTGTCTCCCCTTTCAATATTTTGTCCTGCTGCTGGGGTGCGAGACTGACGGTCTCTGCTCCCTGCAGGACACTCTGCCGCTGGGGAGGAAGGACGACACCTTCAGCTCCCTGGGATACAATCTGCCTCTGGGGAGGAAGGATGACACCTTCAGCTCCATGGGACTCACTTGACCGCTGGGGAGAGGGACCAACTGTCTCCTCTCCTAAGAACACACACTGCCGCTGGGGAGGAAGGACGACACCTTCAGTTCCCTGGGATACACACTGCCGCTGGTGAGGAAGGACTGCACCTTCAGCTCCCTGGGATACACACTGCCGCTGGGGAGGAAGGACTGCACCTTCAGCTCCCTGGGATACACACTGCCGCTGGGGAGGAAGGACTGCACCTTCAGCTCCCTGGGATACACACTGCCGCTGGGGAGGAAGGACTGCACCTTCAGCTCCCTGGGATACACACTGCTGCTGGGGAGGAAGGACTGCACCTTCAGCTCCCTGGGATACACACTGCCGCTGGGGAGGAAGGACTGCACCTTCAGCTCCCTGGGATACACACTGCCGCTGGGGAGGAAGGACTGCACCTTCAGCTCACTGGGATACACACTGCCGCTGGGGAGGAAGGACTGCACCTTCAGCTCCCTGGGATACACACTGCCGCTGGGGAGGAAGGACTGCACCTTCAGCTCCCTGGGACTTACTCTGCCACTGGGGAGGAAGGACGACACCTTCAGCTCCCTGGGGTACACCTTTGAGTCCCCGTAACGCACTCTGCCACCGGATAGGGCGGCCGATACCTTTGGCTGGATCTGCCATGAACTGCAGGTACTCGTCTACCTGGCTCCTTACGAGCTGCACGTATTTCTCCGGGGGGTTGGGTCCAAAGAAAGCCAGCCGCATGGTAAACTCTCTGTCATACTGCTCCTGAGTGTAGCTGGGTGCCATGCTTGCGCTGCTGAAGTTGGTTCTTTTGTAGATAGGGTCGCTGTACGGGTACTGGCGTTGCCCTCAATTTGTAATCCAGGAACTGGTGTTGTATTATAGCTGTCCTTCTGGGCTGTGGAAATGATCCCGTCGCTTGCCACCAATGTAACGGATCACCTGGCACCCCGACTGGGTACCTCCGTTGAAGGATGCTCCTAGCGCTTCCTGAGGACTCCAAGCACTGCAGCAGACACCACAATCACCGAACCGGAGAAACAAATAAATTCTCCAAGCATATGAATGCTGTAGACAGTTGAATAGGAACCATACGAATAGGTTTACTCTCCTAGCAGTCAAACTGGAACAGCATACAATAAATCCTTCCCCCAATAATGAGACGACACTTCACTTTGAGGGTTAAAACAGGAACTCTCTGTAATGGCCACACACTGGCTTTTATGCAAGTCCCCATGCAAGGGGACATCCCACAGGGTGGGACACAGTACAACCAATCGTTACAGGGGAACCATAAAACACACCCACATTTACATCACAATCCCTCCTCTCTGTCCAGGAGATAACTGTGAAGTAATCCAATTATCTCCCAGGACAGAGGCAAGACTCCATTAACCACATGGCAGTAACAATACAATAAAAGACATAAAATTACATACAGTTACATTTATTCCATAAAACATAGACATTCTACATATCCCCAGATAGCTTAGATCTGAGTGCACATTACTACCGAATGGCGCTCAGATCACATAAATACAGTTCAATCGCCATGGAGCCAAAGTCTTTCATACAGTCTTTCAGTATACGGCTGGGCTCCATGGCATAGCTATCTGGGGTAGCATGGCTTTAACAGTCTACAGAAAGGCATGAATACGCTTTGCAGGGAAAATAAAAGGTTTTAACTGCCGGGCCATAGTCTAAAGGGAGCAGGCGAGCAACCAGGCTCTTCCAGTGGACAGTGGCGAGGCTGGTTTCGCCACAGTTACACTGTTCATTTAAATCTGATTTGACTTTTGTTAACCCATACAAATCTACTTCTTTTTCTAAATTGTCTTGACCTGCATCTCGTTTACAAATCAATGCATTGTAAGTACAGACTAGTTTCATAACATTTCTGATCATTTGTTTTTTCTTATTAACAAACAATTTCTTGTAATATTTCACTATTGGCAATTTCACATTGTGTGTATAAAGATTGCCACAATGCAGCATCTGAATAGTTGCTATTAAATGCAAACTGCAATTTACTTTTCTCTGCAATATCATTTATGAATTCCATGTTACTCACCAGATCAGTTATTTCTGTCTATTTCGTTGCTTCTTCCACACAGCTGCGCAGTTCTGGGCTTGAATCTGGACACTTGCCAATCTCTGCCACGTGCTTGCTTCTAGAATTCACGTTGTATCTGGTGCTTTTTTCTTTCAGTTGTAGAAAATAGTTGTGTACAGTCTTTATGATTTGAAAACTTTCTTTTTCTTACAAACAGAGTTCTTCTTCAAGTTTGTTTTCCCAGTTCCAAAATAGCTTTGTAACTCGATTCTACTCTCTCCCCCCTTGAAGTGGGAACAAAACTTGAATAGAAGACTGGCTGGCTCGCCAATGTAAAATCTAGTTTGAATCGATTCATTGTCACTCTTAAATCTTCTTCTTGTCTTCAGTTGATTGATACATATACGTCTTTTGTATATATATTCTTGGGCCAAATGCTCGCCACAATAATATATGTCTATATTATTGAAAAGTACTAATATGCAATCTGACTTACGGTTTCTTCAGGTTTATTCTTAGTTAATGATACATAATAAAACAACAAATGATGTTACAGGATAATGGACATTCAACAGCAGATGGTAATTGCTGTACTTCTGATGGGAGAGTTACATCGTTGTACAGAGCCAAGACAGCGAGTGACCTCGTGTCCCTCTGTTACTATAAAGATGTGCTAATACTAATGTCAGCGTTTAATTCTAGCCATATAAGGACAAAACCCCCAAATCCACATTCCAGAGCTCTCGGACAAAGAAAACCTTGTGACTTATACCATCTGTTACTTATGTCAATCCACACATCCATATATAATCAATAGCAACATAGAATATGCAATATTCTACATTCTGACTTTTTCGTATTTGTTTACTAAAACGGAAATGAAAGTCCCACATGCAAAATATAAAGGAAATGAAAGGGCAAATGCCGAATGCATTACCTATTCATTTCAGTTCTTTTGTTTAATAGACTCCATGCTTCAGGGGAATTAACCCCCACAGCATGGAGGAGAAACAAAAACTGCTTATTCTTCCTGCAGCCAGAGACTTAACCCATACAGGGCTGCAAGGAGACTCTGACAAGCACGGGTTAAGTGACTTAAGCTGTGCTTGACAAAAATACCACTGTGCATGCGCCACCCCAAAAAAGCAAGGAGGGAGCCGGCAGCGCCACCAGCTCCTTCTTTGTAATAAATAATATTAATTCCTACCCCCCCCCTCGCATTAAAACCTATGGGGTCACTACGACCCACATAGTAATAAAAGTCAAGTTAAATCCTCCCGCATGCGGGCATGTCGCCTAAACAGCTAGTCACTAGTGTCATTCCCCCATGGTGGGGAACCCAAATTACAAAAATGGGAGGGACATAATGCCCCCCCACACCCACAACCCGCGGGTGGGGGCTATTAATATAAACGGGGGGGACCTAATGTCCCCCCCAGGTCCCCACCTATGAGTGGTGGGTTGGGACCCTAATTAAATAAAGTGGGGGGACCTAATGTCCCCCCATGAGGGGGGTGGGGACCCTAACAGACAATGGGGGGGACATATTGTCCTCCACCCACACATGAGCAGCAGGTGTGGACCCTAAATGACAATAAGGGGGGGGGTGATTGACCCCCATAGGTTTTAATGCGGGGGGAGGGGGCGGTGAGGAATTAATATTATTTATTACAAGGAAGGAGCTGGTACAGGTTATTTTTTTTACCGAATTCCATCCGAAAACAAATGGTTTACGTATGAAATTCGGAATGGACAAATTAAATTTTTATTTAGCACAAATTTATTTATATGATACAAAAATTTCACTGGTGCACATGTCTACTGCCATCATGGAACATCATTGTCATGAAGGGGTGCACGTGGTCTGCAACAATCTCTAGGTAGGTTGTACGCGTTAAAGTTATCTCCATACAAATGCTGGGATCCAAATTTTCAGACCACTGTCAGACCATAACAGTGTCTCCACCGGCCTGCCTTCTTTCCATAGTGCATCTTGCCGACTTTCTTCTCCAGGTAAATGACGCACATTCACCTGGCCATCCACCTGACCAAAAAGAAAACGTGATCCTCAGACCAGGTAACCTACCATTGCTCAAAATAGTACATAGTAGGAGGTTTTTAAATGGGGTGCTGCAGGGGATCAATTTATGCAATACACAAGATCCAGCGCACTCACTTATCCACTAAACAGCAACTTCAATGTTGACAGATTTTATTAGTTTATATATATATTTTTATCAATAATATAATATATATATATACACACACACACATATATATAAAAATCAATAATATGTAAGGCTATGTTTGCCACCCCAGATAGTTGAGTAATATATAAACACGTAATTTTATATATATATATATATAGATATATATATATATATAAAAAAAAAATCCCCTGCACTCACGCTTTAACTCCTTCACTGCCGGGTGCATAAGCCTGAGCTCCAAAGACATAGATCAAATTTAGAATGGCTGCTCACCGGTCTTTAAAATGTAGATTCTTTATTAGATAAAGTTTAAAATAATGACCAACGTTTCATTCCCCGTTCAGGACTTTCCTCAGGGTCAATAACAGGACAACAGTTTTTTTCTTTATTATATATAATATGTGTTTATATATTATTAATAGTAATTTATATTACTCAATCATCTGGGGTGGCAAGACATAGCCTTACATATTACATGTATTACATGTCCTGTTATTTGACCCTGAGGAAAGTCCCGAGCGGTGACTGAAACGTTGGTCATTATTTTAAACTTTATCTAATAAAGAATCTACATTTTAAAGACCGGTGAGCAACCATTCTAAATTGGATCTATATAATGTATTTATATATTATTAATAGTAATTTATATTACTCAATTATCTGGTGTAACGGACCGTTTTGCACACAAGGGGTAAAAACCGTTTAGGCGATCGGCCCCCTTTCCAGAGATACAGGCACAGCTACTGCAGAACACCAAACTCCCGAACTGGATACAAAATAGCACTCCAACTCCCGAACTGGAACCTCCCAAATAGCTGCTAGCAGACGAACAGGAAAAGCAGACAATCAGCTTACACTCCTGGCAATCAGTCTCTAACAGCATACAGTGAATCCCCCCAAGAACAAGACAAGGCTCCGTGTAGAGGGTCAAGCAGTGGTCTGTTTTAATGAGGGCTACCTGCCCAGTATTTATGCAGGTCTCCCACCTGGTGGACACTCCCCTAGGGGACCAGATGGAAGACTGTAACAAAAGACAGACATGTACCAATTACAGACATACAGAAGTAAAACATCCCCACAATGCATCCTGGCTTCCTCCCCTCTGCCCTGGAGAAGTAATTCAATTATCTCCCAGGACAAAGGCAAAACTCCATTACACATGTGGGGACACAAAGACAGACTATCACTTTAAAATACATAATGGGACAAATGGTACGGTAAATATATACATGTAACATATCCCCAGATAGCTCAGGTCTGAGTGCACATTATTAGGTGAATGGCACTCAGACCACACGAATACAGTTTAATTGCCATGGAGCCAAAGTCTTTAATTACACGAACAGGCTCCATGGCATAGCTATCTGGGTTAAAACATTCCTCCAACATAAAATACCGAATTTACATGCATTCGTTAAATCCGTACGAATTAGAACCAGGGGTTGGAGGTTCAGCGGTGCCTGCATGTAAAAGTGTCCGGTTTTGGTGCAGGAAAGCTGGGCAGAAAAGCGCTGGCTGCCCGGGGAGCTCCAGAACACCGCCATCGTGTGGCGGCTAAGTGTAACCGCGACCACCCAGTAACAATCAATTAAGCTGCGGTTAACCGCAGCTACTGGGTGGTCAATTGCCGGCACACGCTCGTTAAGCCGCGGTTAACTGCGGCTTCAGGGAGGTAAATGGAGGGCGCACTCCAGCTTCTGGGTGGCCAATTAACGGCGCCGGCCGACTTCCCACGGCTCTGGGGAGGCTGATAGAAGTCTGTTTGTTCGGTAGATAGAATCTACCGAACGGCTGTGCAGAAAGGGAGAAATAAATCCTTCTGCACAGTAAAATCAACCCTTTAGCTGCCGGTCCATAATCCAAAGGCAGCAGGTGGGCAACTAGGCTCCTCCAATGCAATGTGGCGAGATTGGTCTCGTCACATCTGGGGTGGCAAGACATAGCCTTACATATTACATGTGACAATACATGGCACAATGACTTATTGGGCTGGCATAGATTCTTTTTTTTCCAGGCCTACTTTGTATCCCCAGTCCGGCCCTGCCCCTCACCTTACCGAACACCCCTGACTCTTTGTGTACCCCCCAAAACCTGTCTGTCTCTTCTACCCCTCTGTTTATATTTGTGTGATATCCAAGCTTTTGCCTGTCTCTTTTGCCTTTTCCCAACCCCTCTGTCAATGTGTGTCCGTCCCCCCAAGCTTTTGTCTGTCTCTTTTGTCCCTTCCCAAACCCTTTCATGTCTGTGCCTCCTCCCCATCTCTCTCTCTTTAGCCCCCCCTTGTGGTTTCTCTGCAGAACAACCCTCCCCGCATACAAATAATATGAACAGCCCACACACAAACTTACACACAATCTGCACAAACTCAACACCACTGACAATCCACATACATGCAGCCTCTAACATGCAATAAGCAAAACAGCCCCACACATACACACACTACCAAACACACCATGAGACAAATCCATCTGCACACATTTCACAAGCAGCCCCCATACACAGCCCACATTCATATGTATTTTACACGATACCACAAACTACTCATGAACATATACAATATAATAGTTCATATACCCAGAAATACGATACAAAACAACCACAGTTTAAATAACACAAGCAGAATATGGAAACAGGCACAACTCAATTTAAAAAAAATAGGACTGGAACGCTATGGGACATCACAATCCTATTTCGGCACAGTGCTGCTGAAAGGTTGCCTACCCCTGATCTATACGGATCTGTACAGAAAATGTATTTATCATAGCTGCTGTATATTGCAAACATATATGGACAGGGCATGTTCATCCTATAAGCGACTTAGGCAGTTGCCTAGGTCGCACCGGCAAAGGGGGCGCCAGATTTGAGTGACAGGCGGGAGGGAAGCGCACAGCGCTCCCTCCTGCCAGTCACTCAGTTTTGCTTTTTGCTATGTAACTTGTTTCTTTGGTTTTTACTGTATGTATTTGGGATGATGTGAACTATGGTCGTTGCTGCCGCCCAAGAGTAATGGGAGTTTAAGCGCAGGACTAGTTTTTTTGTATTTGTATTCACCTTTGTATCACACAGCTATGCTACAATGCTGCTGCCCAACCCATGTGTTTCCTACTAAGGGTTAATAAGTATATAGGGGTGTCTATAAAAAATACACCTCTGTCTCATTAGAGAAATCTATGCCAGAAGCTCAAGGAAGCAAGGTTAGTGTAGGACCCACCTGAGAGGTTTGCCTTAATGTTGGCAGGTGGGCTAAACTCTCATGGCCATTGGAGCAACTAAATAACCTCCATTTGTTTAAATGTGCAAAAGGATTTGGGAAGAACGCAGGTAACGTTTTTCTTAGTTTTTTGTATGGGGCTGATGTATACTATGGTCGTTGCTGTCACCCAAGAGTATAGAGAGTTTGAGCGCAGGACTTGTTTTTTTGTATTTGTACTCAATGTAGTGTGGCCGGAAACATAAGCTCCTGTACCGTGGTCCGTGCCGCCGGCCACACTACAAAGATAGAAAGGAGGTATAACAGGGAGGGAAGACAACTAAGGGAGAGATGAGGGTGAAAGGACCACTAAGGGAGGAGAGGGGGGATGGAGAGTACTACTAAGTGGTTGGGTGAGAGGAAGGACCAATAAGGGGGAGAGGGAGGACCACTAGGAGAGTGGGAAGTGGCTTTGGGGGCGGAGGACCACTAAGGGTTTCGGGGAGGAGGACCACTAAGGGGGAAGACGAGGGTCTGGAGAGGACCACTAAGAGGGGGGGGAGACCACACTAAGGGACAAGGAGAAGAGAGGAACACTGAGGGACAGGGGGAGAGACCACTAAGGTACAGGGTAGAGCTCTAAGGATGGAGGGTACAGCTCTAAGGGAGGGGAGGAGAGAGCACTAAGGGACAGGAAGGTCGGGGAGAGCACAAAGGGACAGGAGGGGGGAGCTCTGGGGGATGGGTGGGGAGAGCACTAATGGACTGAAGGGGAGGCAATATCACCAAGTGACAGGGGTCAAGGGAGAGCACTAAAGGACAGGAGGGGAGGAGACAGCACTAAGGGACAGGAGGGGATAACACTGAGGGACAGGAGATAACTAATTGACAGGAGGGGAGAGCACTATAAAAACAAAGAGCTGCTCCCCTCTCAGCCCATATCCTACCCCACAAACCCTCTCTTTCACAATACACACACATACACAATGCATCCTTACACATACACAGAAATACACAATGCGTCCATACACACACACACACACACACAGAAACATACAATGCATCTCTACTCACACACAGATACACTGTGTGTGCACTTTTCTTACACACACACACACACACAGAGAAACAAAATGCATCTCTTACAAACAGTCAATGCACCCCTTACAGAAACACACTGAATTAAATTACATACACAGAAACACACCTTGCATCCCTTACACACAGACACACCCAGAAACACACAATGCATTCCTTACACACAAACACATCCTGCATCCCCTATACACACACTATACCCCTTACACAAATTGGTATCCCTATACACTACATTCCATAAGAACACACACACATTACATCCTCTACAATAACACATAACACATCCAATCCACTCCCTTTGAGCAAACTCATGGGTGGGCCATGTAGGTGGAATTATGGGCGGGCCTTGTAGGCGTACTCACGGTCAGGCCCTGGGGGCCCAGACCTTGAGCTGTGTAAAGGGCCCCAAAAAGTGGAGCTACTTCCTGTTCGTTAATTTTTGAGAGCACTGTTACAAACAGTATCCAGAGAACCTCTTCTACACCAGACCAGTGGAGACAGACTGCAGCCTGAGCCCATCATCATTCTCTTGTCCTCTATCTGGTGGTAAGTAGGCAATCCAATATATTATTAGTGGCGCTAATCTCTAATTTACCTCACATTAAAGGACCACTATATAGTCACCAGAACCACTACAGCTTAATGTAGTGGTTCTGGTGTCTATAACCAGTGCCTGCAGGCCTTTTAATGTAAACTCACTGCCTTTTCAGATAAAAGACACTTTGTGCAGAATTGGCGTAGGCCCATATGGCAGATCATATGGATGGGGCATTGTGATGTCACATGGCAAGCAGAACATATGGGGGGGCAGCAAATTTTTGTTTGCCTAGGGCAGCAAAAATCCTTTCACCGGCTCTGCATATGGATGAGTACAGTTCTCCCACTGAAAGCAATGGGAGGGTCAGGGATAGGGGAGAGATCAATTTACTAAACTATACAGCCATCACAAATCTCAAAACAGTGTTCAAATATTGCACTCTTTGGGGAGAAAGAATCATGAGACAAATATATTTCAGTAAGTCAGCTTTATTTCAGTATATGCATAGGTTTTATTATATGCCACAACATAGCACAAAGTGTTCAAGCACAAAGTCCCATCAGTAAGCAATGTGGAGAGGAAGACATACACCAGTGAAAGACATGTTGGAATAATAGTTGTTGCTGACTCAGCCTTCCATAATGTAATCAGGAAAACACAGTCCGCAACTTCTGGGCTAACACTATCAATTGGACATACAACATATTTAAAAATATGGTTTTCCCCACTTTTTTTATGTCAATTCTTTATTTAAAAAAAAAAAACCTAATCTAAAAATGCTTTTCTATTTCCAGTGGAACTCATCAAGGGTGTCCTCAACCCCCTTTTTTATTGAAGTTACTCTTGGCAAATATATGGCCCCTCCAAACTTAAGACAGAGGCCTCATAGTTTTGTATAAGCTTTTTAAATGATCACAATTTGTTAGAAAACTTTTCAAAATATTTATCTACAAAAAATTTCCCATAGAAGTTAATGGTGACTTATGTACATAAATAATTAAAAAAAAAATCCTAACAGAATGTGATCAATTGAAAAGTTTATTATAATAATAATAAAAAAAAAATATTAAAATTGAGGCCATAGTCTTCAAACGTTACATATCAAGATACTAAACCTAAACAAGTAATTTCTGGAGGTAGAACCCCATAAATCAGTCATTTTTTCTTTCCACTGTTTGTCAATCCCACCCCAGTTACTCAAAAATGACTCCCACAGAAAGAGTCAAGAAACTATAATTCTACCTTTTGGAGGCAGAATGGAGCCAGGTAAAGCACTACAATGTAATCATAAATACACTACCCATGTGGTATTACCTAATAAAATGTTTTTGGTTCTCTTCCACTGGTATCCAACATGCGAACGTTAATCTAAAAATTACCCCACAGTGTCCCTCATTTGCAGAAGATGCCTGAGGGGTGAAGGAGGTATACTTGGGATCTGTTGGTTTTCCATTAAATTTGCTCATTCTATTAAGTCCCAGGTCCTCCTTCTAATGCTCTTTTCTACAAAATAGTTATTTTCCCACAGGGTTTCACATAATTACAGCCTTAACTCTTAGCAGTGCAAATATGTTAACAATATGCTCTATTTGCAGTTTTGAATTATAGCACGATGGTCTTTTCTGAACGGTAAGATGGAATCTGCTCCTATCTGGGAAACAATGCGCACAGTCCCAGATATCAGGTGTAATGGAATAGGCAAAGTATACTTCAAAATACCAGATAACCACAGCATGTTCTAAATGTACAGTTTATCTCAGTATAAACATGAAGGAGTTTTATGGATGAATGGCATTACTCCATGTCTTGACCAAGCCTTATTCATCTATTGAGAAATTTCACCAATTAAAAAAAGACTTATATTTACTTGATATATAACTTCCCACTTAATTTCATATATACTGATAACTATAAACCATGGTATCTTCACAGATTAAAACTATTAGGCGTCTGATATGCATGGCATTAAATAGTGCAAAAACAGGCAGATTAATATAAAACAAAAAAATGTAGAAAAGCAAAAATGCAGCATTGTTTGGAAAAAAGCAAACATTATTTCTTCAATTCCCAAGTATGACCTTCACTTATACGTTTTAAATTATTTTATATAGACGTGAAACTAACAAGACTGATGCACAGTTCTCATCGATATATCAACTTCTACTTTTTTGTCGAATGTTCCCTAAGATGATATGGTTTCCCATTGTACGTTTTTGGCATTCGATTCCAGAAGAAAACCATAGAGAGGAGAAAGGTTTTAATCTCTTTAAAAATCTTATTGAATAGCTAGTGTGGTATTAGCCCTGCTGGTCACACCAAAACTTTTTTTTTTTTTTTTGGATAGATAAAACAAAAATTTATAGTTTTGGGGCATTTCCATTTTTCTCCCTCCTTGACACATTATTTGAAGATGGATCTCTTGTTATTGTGATCAGATTTCTCCCTCAAAAGGGCAATGAACTATAATATTTGATGTTTGCATTTGGATGTGATTTGGTACATCATCCATAATTATATCCAAAGCACCTTTCAGTATTCTGGGTTTCTTTTGATACTTTTTTGATTCAACCACCAAAAAACCATATGAGAAGACCAGCATCTCCAAGAAAGCAACTGTAAACTAATATATAACAGAAGAATTCATCTCCAACACCAATAATTATTCTTCAAGACGGATTATTACACCATCTAAAAGTGAACCTCAATGATTTTTGTCAATCCTATCTTGGCAAGGTTCTTGTTGAAGAGTTGGCAAGTCGTTGACTGATGGATTAAACAGTCAAAATGATACAAATTAAAAAGATGTGTGTGTTTCATTTCAAACACAATCTTTTTATAAAATTGTAAACATGTTACGTCATCTTTTTGCCCTCAGCGTGGTTACACAGACATCAATTGTTGGACTGTAACTTAACGCCTAAAGACAATTTGTATCTATTTGCACACTGTTTATGTGATGACATTCAAATAGATATGGACTGTAAAATTATATATCAAATCCATAAAACAAGAGGTGCACATTATCGCTGTGGTTGGAAAAAGTGCAGGGAGACGAGAACACTTTTTTTCATACTACTATAAAACAATTTGACAAAAGGAGGGACTGCTCCCAAAACACAGTAAGTTCTGGTTGGAATGGACCAGAATGTCACTTTAATAGTGCAAATATTTTAGGTTCTAATGTGGCAAAATAAAAATACCTCTACCTTTATTTATAATCCACATATTATCAAGCAACATTTCAATCCAACCCCACAATTTAGAAATTGAATTATAAAAAGCTGAGCTCTGTGTTTTCTTGATATCACATATATTAATGTTATGAAATCAGTACCAACGTACAATAAATCAAAACAATGATGAACCAGGATAAAATAAGGGATGATGTAAAATAAACAACATTTCTATATATCCCAACAGAACCATGGACCCAGAGCTTCACTGTACACCACAATCAGGCCAAAATAAGAACAAAAAGAGTTGGCAATCATCGATGACATCAAAATGTCATATAAACATATATTATATATTTAAATTTGAAATGGATTCACTTGTCTCAAAATGTGAGCTCTTTTTTCACAGTTTTGATAAAAATATAGAAAACACATGAGAAAAATGGATCTTGACTCCATCCCAGTGTCAGGAGTAAAAGTTGAATATTGGCTGCATATTTTGCTTGATTTATGCAGATTGTGTAACAAACTGGTGTAGATAAAATGCACAGAATGTAGATACAGGACAACAATTACTAAAAAGATCCACAAAATATGAATGGAGTCAGGAGTGTATCCTCAAAAAATGAAATGTTTTAAATAAAATTATTGCAAAGTAAAAGTGAATTTGCAAACCATGAAAAAATGTAAAAGGAGAATGGACATATCATGTCCTAATCACCTATTCTATGCAAACCATGCACAGAGAATGGAGTCTTCTTTTACTACAAGGACAGGTGACAGGTGGAGTTACCTGTGAACTAGAATTAAACAAGTGAAATAAAGGTGAATACCAGCATGACAACCATGCACAGGAAATTTAACAGAGTATTCATATGCATACACTGGACCTTGTGTGATCACCCAAAAAGAAGACGGAATCTTACTGTAAAAGTCTGGATCCACAGACGAGCACACAATTCTAATTTATCAGGTGTCTATTGCTTCAAGTAGGGCTTCAAGTAGGGCTGACAGCATTTCTTGTACTGCAATGTATACGTTTTATTCTTCTCAGCAGTGTTGAGTGACATTTATTTTTCAAGTTAACAGAAAAATAAAGGCAACATCTAAAGCAAAGGGAAGATGGCCGTAGCAATAGAGAAAATTCAACAAGAACGGGCTAACAAGTTGTAAAAAATGAAGAAAAAAACCCCCAAAAAAACAAAACCTTATTTCCTACTATATTAAAAGAAACTATAGTGCCAGGAAAACAAGCTTGTTTTCCTGGCACTATAGCTTCCCCCTCCCCAGGGTGCAGGCTCGGGTTTGCCTCTCTTCTCCCCAGCCGACGGGGAAAGACCTAATGCACATGCATGACAATGGTCATGCTCGCATTAGAGTTACCCCATAACAAAGCATTATTCAGTGCTTTCCTATAGGGTTTTGTGTGACGCTGGATGTCCCCATGCATTGCATGAGTGCGTCCAGTGTCAGTAAGGCAACTTAACCAAAAGTCACTTAACAGCCTGGAAGTTCCTCTAGTGGCTGTCTGATAGACAGCCACTAGATGTAGAGTTAACCCTAGCAGGTAATTATTTATCACCTGCTCAGGGTTAAAGGACATGGGAACTGGGATACTGCACCCAGACCACTTCAATGAGCTGAAGTGATCTGGGTGCCTATTGTGTCCCTTTAAATTAAAGTTCCATTTCCCATTTAGTATAATTAAGTATCACTCACCCAATCAATCCTGCTACACTCAAATCTTGCACACCTGCAAACAGCATTCATTTAGTCTAACCACTCACATACTCATGCAGTCCAGTCACACATTAAATCCACAAAAATGTACAGATTAGAAAATCTATAACTAAAGATCACTTTCTCATGGCATCCTGGAATTAACCGATAATAGAGATATTGAATATATTTTATAGAGCTTTGTACTAGGAGGTTTGGCACAAACAAAGTTCATGTCCGATTCATGTAGGTTCACATTCAATGCCCAAAGTACAGATTAAAACCAGAATTCTCAAAAATAAGAAAAAGAAACATGTTGTGCTTTATTAGTTCACATAACATTGAGTGGGTCCTAACTTGTAAACAACAAACTGCAGCACCTTTTAGGTTGGGAAGGGTAGAGACCTCAGTAATCAACTGGATATTTTGTCAGTTTGCTACGGACGGTTCCCCTAACACAGACATACAAATCCCACACCCAAAACTCGTTTTTCTGGCACTATAGGGTCTTTAGTTCCCCTCCCACCCTCAGTGCCCCACTCCCGCTGGGCTGAAGGAGGAGGTAGGGGTTAAACATTCACCTTTCTCCAGCGCCTGGGAAATCTCCTCCCTCTTCCGACGTCAGCGCTGAATGCTCTTGCGCGGCAAGAGCTGCGCGCGCATTCAATCAGTCCATGGGAAAGCATTTCACAATGCTTTCCTACGGACGTAAGCATTTTCTCACTGTGATTTTCACAGTGAGAAGCACGGAAGCGCCTCTAGCGGCTGTCAATGAGACAGCCACTAGTGGCTGGATTAACCCTATTGTAAACAAAGCAGTTTCTCTGAAATGACTATGTTTACAGCTGCAGGGTTAACCCTAGATGGAGCTGGCACCCAGATCACTTCATTGAGCTGAAGTGGTCTGGGTGCCAATAGTGGTTCTTTAACGCTTAAAACTCCCCAGACACCTCTCTCAGGCAATTCCTCGCTCAACTCACCCAACTGTCCCTTCATTAACTGTAAACTCCTTTTTCACCTTATAATCTAACATCTACCATTTATCACAGCAATTAGAATGGTGCATATACATAAATATGGCTTGCACATCTGCCAATATTTAGTTTTCACTGTGGATACTTTAAGCTATAAATCCCCATAGAGTGTAACCTTTGCTTGAGCAGAGTCTTGTATGTGCCATATTCCTAGTGCAAACCGCTGTAAAATATATTCAATATCCATAAACAAAAAGACATTAAAAAAAAAAAAAAAGATCAAAGTTGCACCCCCAAATCATGCCCGATATCATGTGTTCTGTACAACACATTTTCTATTTGCCAGTATACTTATTAAGCCATTTTTGGTGCAAATGATTATTTATGAATATAGTAGAAGTAAGTTTTTTTCTTTCCTTGTCAAAACTCTAAAATCTGTAAACACTGAACACAAAGCAAAGTACATCGATAACAATAACCCTGTATGAATCTTGCATTCACTACTACCACCACAATCATGAAACAACAAACGTGAGAGAAACTACAACACACACAATGACACTGAGGCCAAGTTCACAGACAGTAGACTCAGTACGTCTGAGAGTAACAAACAGTTAAACATTAAATATCAAAGTTTGGGGGAGGGGGAGAGGTTCTTTTATTTTTTTCTAAATAGCTATAAACATTTACTTGAGGATATTTCAGAATGCTAAATCGTAACCACATACTTTAAAACAAAGACAAGCCAGTTAAATAGTACTAAGAAAAATGGTATTCTCCCTGGGATACCAGTAAATGCACATAACTTTTTACAGCAAGGCAGCCTGCACTTATACCTAGACAAACGTTGGCAAGGACGCAATTTATTTCAAGACTCATACAAGTGGTTAGACGGTCATGGCTGAATGTGCATCTAAACCACTTAGTAAGTTTGAAGAATGGGCGGATTTATTACGGACCAGCACTCAAAACCTCTTGTGTAGATCAGATGAAACGGATACTGGTAATGGGAAGGTATAAATGCTTTGTTACCAATACGGCTGGTGAGGTGGTGAGTGGCTATGGTGCTGCAGAAATCCTGTTTTTTGTCAAACTGCTAAATGCTATAAAAAAAATAAAATAAAAATAAATAAAAAAAAGACTGTTTAACCCCTTAAGGACACATGACATGTGTGACAGGTCATGATTCCCTTTTATTCCAGAAGCTTGGTCCTTAAGGGGTTAAAGTCTCTTGGTAACAGAACTACTAGTGTAAGGAGCTATAATAGTTATGTCGCTTAGAGGGATACTTTAAGGCCAAATCTTTGTGGCCTTATGGAATGGTTTACCCTGTAAGGGGTTGAATAAAGCACATATATACAACTATGTCACCTAAGGTAATTCTAAAATATCACACAAAAGGAATATCTTACAGAAACGTATACATTAAAGTAATGGCAAATTGTTCATTTAAGTTTTTCTTTTTCATACAAGGAAAATTTAAAATTTGCTCGCAACCAAACTTTGCAGAACTGAAATATATATTTTTTTAATAAAGGCATTTTACACTCCATGATCATCTCACAGATGTGTGGAGGTTTCTAAGAAGTTGTTAGAGGGCTTTCTCAAAATTGCTGCAATGAGATTTGTTTTCAGCATTGCCGTTAATATAGGATACCTGTGATCTCTCACTGCTTGTGCCAGATCAGACTCCACGCTTCAAAACAAAGCAAGAGGATCCAGAGTGATAAGGGGAAAAACAAAAAACAAACCTGCATTTTTTAAAATGACTATATTATCAAGAAGCAAAGTGCACCGTACTTATTACATAAGTAAATATTAAAACAAGAGCTTTGTGGCACATTAAGCATGAAAATGGATGCGACCGATCTCATTTTTTTTAGGCGTACATTGGACATTCCAATGCATAGGTCTATTTAAATTAAAAGCAAAAAATATATATTTTTTCTGGTTTCCAGTAAATCCTTAAATGTGTTTAGTTTGTTAATGGCAACTTAAAAAATATTTTTTACTCAAATAAGCAAAATAACTCACAAGCCTTACTATGTTCACTTTTTCAAATGTTTTAAAAAAAAAAACAAAAAAAAAAAAACAAAACAAAACAGTTTTTGTACTTTTAGAAACATTCACACATAAAACAGCCAAAACGTGGTTCTGATTGTCTGGAGTAAGAATACTGCAATCCATTCACACACTTTTAAAAACTTCATTTTTTGAACATCTTGTCATGCAGAACATGAATATGACACACCATCAATCAATGTTGGCCACAAAATGTGGGGACATTTATCTTTGGTCCATAAAGATATATCACATGTTCACACACATATATGCGGTTACTGTTCATTATCTGCAACGGTTTCGGTTTTGCGCTGTCTCAAGGCACTTTCAGGTTCTGATGTGCTTATATTCTCCACTGGAGGGATAGTGTCTTCTTCAGTATCAGATTCCTCCACTGCAGAGTCTTCATCAGAGTCTTTGGCATCATCACTTCCTTCCTCGGCATCTTCATCGTCACTTTCACTCTCTCCTTCATTGTCAGATAACTCTTTATTTTCTTCTAAAGGTTCTTTGGAGCCTTCAGTTGGAACGTCCAAATTCTCTTCATTCTCTTCTACAAAAGAAGAAAAAAATTAAGAATAACCTTTAGAATGTTTGTGTGCAACGCCTCTAAGTAACGAATGGGGATAACATTGCAGTCATCAAGTCATTCATTATGATTAGAATTATTCGTCTTTCACTAAAATGGGAATGGCAAATTTCAGATCAAAGTATCCATGCTATTTATATGATAACAATAATACATGTTTTTTTGGATGGATGATCAAGACATTATGGACATTTCTGCATTATATGAGTGGTAGACGATGGGCAATGCTTTGGATGTGTGGAGAGCCTGAGCTTTGTCCCAAAAAAGAAGGGTTGATAACACCAATAGATTCCTTGCACCATAACTGTAGTTGTTATGGTGCTTTGAGTGTCCACTCAACTGCTCTATGTTTATTGGATAACACAGTATTCAACAGGTTAATATATTAGTTGACATGAGGAAGACTTTACACAAAAGACAATGTCCCATAAAGACATCCATATGAACAGGAATATTTGCTTTCACGTGAACGGCACTGGATGCTGTAGACTTCACCTGGTAAGCATATGGGTTGTTCAACCCTAGACCCAAATCACCTCTTCGGTGATATTCACATGAAAACCATGGCTGTATGAAGCTGCTCTTTGATGTTTATATTAACATATGGTAGGCTTCTAGAAGATAAAAGAAACACCTCATTCTGCTGCAAATAGGACACTTTATAAAGAGCGTGCAGTCTCACTTAGATCGTTATTCATTATCTACAAACAAAAACGATAGGGATCAATGTTTTCCACACGTTGTCTGCGGATTATGAACAGAAATCACATGCCTGTTCATGCTGCAGTTGCTCTGCAAAAGTGATATCAACATCTATATAAATATACACATACACAAGCACGCACACACACACACACTTATACATTTTAGCAGTTCCTTTCTCTACGTTTCTCCAGCTGTGCCTAACTTGTTTATTACTTATCTGTATAGGCCACTGTACAGCACTGCAGAATCTGTTGGCACTGTATAAAACACCTTCTCAATAGCCATAGTATTTGCTAAATTGCATGCAGACAATAACAGATTTTCCTGAACATTTACAGTGTTAAATAGGAAAATATTATGTATTTTGTGAATAATTTCAGACGTGTGTGATAGGGGAACATTGACTTTTTTCCTAAAATGCAAACTTAACACTTACTGATTTATAAAATGGGATAAAACAGTCTTTTAAATAATTTTACTAAAAAAAAAATGCTTCTTTAATTTCTTTTAAAAAAAATAACTTACCAGCTCTCACCACTTCATACTTTGCTTTAGATGGACAACAGCAGTCTGCTAGAAGAACCAGTATCTGTGTGGAAAACACATTGTATATTGTATGACAGTGATAATAAGAGAATAATCCAAAACACAGTAAGTCAATAACAGAATGTCTTAGAAGGACATGCATCACTTTTAGACAAATATCTCATTTAAAAGCTTAAGCTTGAATGAGACAGTTACCTCACTGCATGTAAATATGATTTTTTTTTTTTTTAAGATTTTTTACCTGCTTCTTTTTTACGCTTTCCACACCCACTCCAAGGAGAACACTGATCTAACCAATCGGTGTCCTATCCCTAGGAATGCTGAAAAGTGCATTGGACATGCCTGACAGATTTACACATGAACAGTTGGAAGATCTCTTCACCTTGCAACATCATGACAGGAGGAGAAGAAAGGCAGTCTGATCAATGTGATCATGCAGAGCAGGCTCCAGAGTCTGGTTTCTCTCTTCTCATGAATGTGGAATTTAAAAAAAAAAAAAAAAAACCTATTTGTCCACGGAACTAAAGTGGTAGCCCAATCTACTTGTTAGTCATGACAATCTACTTGTCCTGAAAGAAAATCATTTCAATTAAGAAGGTTGGAGCGCCTACCAATAGCGGTGAACGTTGACAGGGTAATATGCTGAAATTTCACAAAATAAATCCATAACAATAAATATGGAAAATATTTCACAATATGACTATTTTAGCCTCAATTTTGCTGCTTGGATTTATTTACCCTACAAGCTCCCATAGTCTCCTTCTTTTGTATAGTGTGTGCTTGCTGTATGCCGTCAATGTGCAGTGTGTGCTTGCTGTGTATGTTTGGAAAGTGCTGGCAGTATCTGATGTGCTTGCGGAGAGTACCGACTGTGCTTGGTTCACGTGTGGTGTGTGTTGGCTGTATGTGATGTGATGTGATGTGTGCACACTGGCTGTATGTAATGTGTGCGCACTGGCTGTACGTGGTTGCAATTTTGTGTGTATTCATTAAAGCAGCTTAGTTGTCTTCTGATAAAGTAGATGAGAGATCAGTATCATCTACTCAGTTGCCCGAAGATAGTAAGAAATGAAGACATCTGTGAAGATCGATTTCTCTCTGATCTGATCAATAGCAAGTTTCTGAAGAGCTTATTTAGACATCTATGCCACTGATGCTTGACCTTTTGGTCCTTGTATAAAATCCACTAGAGCACCTGCATCATCATCTACATACATCATTATTAGTATTATTTATATAGCGCCAGCAAATTCCGTAGCGTTGTACAATCATGATTGTTTACTGGGTTCTGAATCTGTTCAAATAGCCAGCTGGGACCTATTTCCAAACTCACAGCTATAGGTCCTCCTTATAAATGTAATCTGTAGTTTCACACTGGGCTTTCACATTAGGTTCTGTTTGCAAACTATTATTTCTGAGAATTCCTGGCTGATCGCACTGACGATCGATCTGACCATCAGTCATTGACCCCCGATTTGGTAATTGGACTAGGTTTGTTGACTATTAGGTAATATAAATATTGAATTCTTCCTAAACTGCAAGTTGTATTACAGCTCCCAAGGGCTGATCTTGCAACATTTCCCCTCTAAAATGAGTATTTGTCAAGCCTAGTCACAAGGTGCTATACACTCCCAATATACAGTTATATCACACATGTTACAATTGAAATAGTGTTACAAAAGTAAAACAAAAACATGGCATTAAATTCCAATATTGTTTAAAATACTTTTCCTTAAAGTAATAGCCTTTAAAATAGAAATCATGTCTGCCAAGAAGATATAAGATATACAAGAAGATATTCTTGGGTTAGTCCATTATTTTATTCTACTCCATCTACCTATCCATGCACCTTCTGTATGGAATGCATCTGAGAGGACTTCACAAAAGGTGGACTGGGCTGCACAAAGGATACTCTCTTGGGGTTCAAATAATAGGGAGTTTTACCTCGGTCAATGCCACAGTGAGGGGAGTCAGTTACATAAATCGTTTAAGGAACACTCCAATACAGCAATTTTTAAAGTATTATTTTTTAACTGGAACGTTCCTTCAAGGTACAGTATATATTAATGCTATACAATATATCTCTTTAGTATATTGTATAATTTATCCCTTTAACTACAAGTAAATGACAGCAAACGAATGAATGTTTGTGGTTATCTACTTTGATTTCTATACACTAAATAAAGCATCTTATCAGTACACCTTCCACAGACAATATATGTTTCGCTGGGAGACTGGATTTTATAAAATATATAATATAGCAAATGTAACTAAAATAATAATTGTTCCAAATATCCAGAAGTAGAATGCAACAAAACAAATTGGTGTTATACAAATTGGTGCATCCAAACCCCACTGTGAAATCAATCACCTAATATGGCAAATAAATCAGTTCATCTAAGATAGACAATTAAAGAAAAAGTGATCATTAAAAAAAGAGATACTATTCTTCGGAAACAAGAGGAGAAAAGAATTAGTAAACATTTACAAGATTCCATGCTGAATCAACTTTAATTCTTCCATGCTGACTTACCTGAGCCAGTGACTCACAGGCTCAGTAAAATGTGAGTAGAATGTATGCGAAAATACTTGCATTTGCACTTTGTATTTAATGTAAACTGCACTATCCTATATTAGTTATTATCTCTTACAGCTGAGAGGAATATATATATATATACATATATATATATATATATATATGAGATTTATACATAATTATACTTGTTTAACTCACTCAATCACTGTACACATTTTGTGTCTTTTCACTGTGTGCGCCACCCACTATATATATTATTTGTCTATAATAATTGTTCCATTTTAAATTAGGCAAAATACTTCATTCACATGAACAAAGGGTTTTGTTTTTTCTTGCTCAGCATTCTAATGTCACCTGCGGAAGCATAACTATTTCAAAACTCAAATTGAGAATTGTGAACGTTAGAAAGGATACCAAAGGGATTAATAAAAAGCTGAAACCGGTATGAATGGACATGGTTATATTATAGTGACATAAGGGTGACTTGGAACATCTTTAAAGCATTAAAAAAATAATAAAAAAAAAATAAAAAATTTCTACTGGGATATGAATGCAAACAAGAAATATGTGCTTATAATAATAAAAGCCATTATACTAATAATATTTGATAATGTCTTACCAAACCAAGGATTAGCCCAATCAGCAAAGTGGCCACAATAAAGATGACGTAAGACCCCCAAACAGGAATTTCAAGAGGACCAGTAAAGTAGTTGTGAGTTTGCTAGAAGTATGAAAAGAATGTATTCAATTCAGTAAATAAAATGATTAAAAAAAATTACAATAAAACACATATTAAGAAACAATAGCCGCAATGTAATATTAGCAGATACACTGTTCAAATTGTTTAATAATTTTGGATAAAATTTGTTAAAAAAAAAGACATTTCCCAACATATTAAAATCTGACAACATTATCGTAAATAAAAAAATATCACCATATCAGAAAATATCAAAATATAAAAAAATAAAATATTAAATTGGTTGAAAAGCTTATCCAACATAATAAAAGCAAGATCAATATGATTCTACAAATGAATAAATCATTCTCCTGCGTTGTTTTTTTTATTATTTAACAATGTACGAATGGGCTTGCTTTTGAGTGACTTCATATCACCATATAAGCACTCTTTGACTTTAGCCTTTCTAACCAATTAACGTTAATGTCTTTCTTGTGGGTATTGTTGAGATAAGCTCTCATTAAAATCATGGTTTAACGTCCGTTGCAGGAAGAGCTTGGTTGGAACCAGCTGTTCTTTTGAAAATATAGATATATAAAATAAAAACAAAACAAAACAAAAACATGTGTGGCTGTTTTCAGTTGCAGGAATGCTAAAGTATATTCCCGAGAACCTGGATAATGTTGCAGATTCCCTAAAATTAGAAATCAAGAAAAATAAATACATTTAAGAAAAATTGTATAAAGAACTTTCAACTCTACGGTTATACAGTTCTTGAAAGGTTTAAACCTCTGACATCCTTGCACTATAACAACTGCATTTGGATGATGTTGTTATGGTGCCTAGAGTGTTCTTTTAATATAGAATATTCAGCTTTAGCAGGTTTATTCTGTAATCCATTGATTAATCTGAGCAGGTGAGGTGTCATTGAGCTGAACATGTCATGTCCTTATTTGCAAAGTCCTCATTAAATATTTAGCTCAACTAAGCTGAAGGGAACTCAGAAGTGGCTTTATTCATGAATAAGAGTCTAAACTGAGCACAGATCCTGACAAGATCGGAAACGGCAAAGCGACTACAGAGTTCAGTTCCTTAGACTAGGTATGCTAGACTATTGAGTAAATTCCCCAAAAGATAACAAGTTTATAACCGTCAAGGGACATGTATACTGGAGGAATGGATTCTTAGATAGGATTACAGCTACAGAATAAGACCCCATCATTAATATGTAATGTCATTTGTAATCTTGGCTTAATTATTTTAATTAATTGAACATATACCAGATAAATGCAGGTGCAATTTATTTAAAAAAAATTAATTTAAAAAAAAAAAAAAAGAAGAAAAAAAAACCATAACACCAGATTATACGATTAGAACATCACTGAGATGTACACTGAAGGAGAACAAAAAAAAAAAAAAAAAAAACAAAAACAAAAAACGGGTAGGTAATGGCCGTGCATTTTCAAAATGTGTATCTAATCTAAAACTTGTCTTACATAGAAATAATATTTTATATATAAATATTTGAAGTCAAGGCAGCAGATCTGTTCAGAAGTCTAATCTGCACCTCTTTATTATTATCGGTTTTCTTTGGTACGGAAAATAGACAATAACAGCATCATGTCCAGGTAAGTAAAGTGAATTTGATGAAAGTAGAAATGTCACCAAGTGTGTGAATCACATACATCATAGTATTTCTGCAATTGTGCTAATATCAACATGTTAAAGTGAAAAAAAAAAAAAATATTAAAATATTACGCTAAAATAAAATGCTTCATTATTTCATTTTCCTACTTTGCAAACATCAAAATAATCAATTTTGCCTTCCAGGAATCCCACCTGGCCACGTAATGAAAAGCCCTATCATAGAATTTATAACGGTAACACAAAAGTCAATATTGCAATACAAGTCATCCTAGCCGTCTAAAAGAAAATACATTTTGTCCTCCAGCTAACCCGTATAATGAATACAGGGAGGTCAGCTCTGTTCACAATCATTAGTGTGACAAGCTGACATGTAGCTGTTTTACAGTACCAAGAAGGCAAAATGTTATATATTGCAAAGTCATCATTCTGACAAGGTCACTACCGAACAAAAAACATACATGTTATGTGGCATTTACAATGTGAAATACATAATAAACATTATGTTCAAGCATTGTAACGGAAGGAGAATGTGGAGATGAACATTCCATCACCTGCCACATTCGGTACCGATCAGAGGTGTGGCACAATGCCAGCATTTTACTTAGTTTAAAGGACAACTGTCAGATTTTCACCTTTCAAAAGTTTATACACTTAAATTTGTAAAGATGTAAATTTTATTTTTTTAATTTAAGTTGAGAATTTTTTTTATTTTATTTATTTTTTTTATCTGGCTGAGCAGCCATGTTGGGTCAGACACTTATCTGGCCAACTGCTGCTCTACCTATCTTGCCTAAAAAAAAATAAAAATCAATATACATCATTTAATAATATATCATTACGTTTCATTAAATGCAATTAACTTTTTTTTTTACAAACGAGAAGTTAAAATTTTAAAACAGTTGTCCCATAAAGCGGCACTATCATGCCGAACTTACCTAATCTCTTCCTCTTCTCTCCCTCTCTCAGGATCTGTTCTCCGTTTCTTCCTATCTAATCTAGTTTTTTTTTTATAAAATAAGACAAAGTAGTGACTACTTTGTCTAATGTATTTTTCCTATGCTTGACCCGCTCTGACCCACTTCCTGTGGGTCAGAGAAATATTCCCACAATACTCACCCTTTCCTCCGTGATCTAGCGATGCCTCTTACTATTCCCGAACGTCCTGTCATTTAGACAGGACATCTGCGAAACTACCGAATTTCGCCCTAACAGAATGAGAACAGTTTGTTCATTCATGCTAGGGCAACATTCGATGGAAATTCCGATCCGTGCAGCGGCTGCATCTTGCAGCCGTTTAGTAGATAGACCCTTAATACTGTGGAAATTAGGGAGCTATCTGCCAAAAGATTGGTCTTTCAGCCAACTTTGCTAATCCGAAGCAAAAATGACTTTGTATTAGTAATTAATCTGTTCCTACTTGCTATATCGCGAGTAGGGGCATGTCTAGTAAACAGTGAGCACTGCACTGTAAACCCCCCCCCCCCTTCTCATAAATGGTCCCATGGTGGGGCATTATTAACTAGCAGGTAACCAATCAGGTAAGGCTCACTATTTACCTATCAGAGCATTCTTATTGGTTGGTTTAAACCAACCAATCAGAGCGCTCTGAGTCAAATTGCAGGGCGTAGGAAGGCTTTATAAGTCTTTCCCCTCCCTGCGGAGCTTAGTCTGATGTATTATTTTGTTTAAGTATCTGGATTTTTTTTTTCACCATTTTTTTGGGGGGGCGCTCGGGTCTTTATTTTAGAAGTTCGTCTGGCTCAAAAGGATTTTAATTTGGCCTTTTTTGGGGCTAAAAAATAAGGTTTTAGAAAAAAGACGACATTAAATGGTAAGTTTTTTTTTGTATTTTTATTTTTTTACAGGTATTTGGTTTTATTGTCCCCTTCACAATTTTTCGGGTGAGGGGGGAAGGTAGGGCTTTATTTTATGTTTTTTTGGTTGTGGGGGTGACTAGAGGCTTGGGGACCCCATGTCACCTGAGGGGGCGGTATTTTGTCATTTAGCCCCCACTCGTCATCCATGGGTGGGGGCCAGGGAGGGAAACAATAGGTTCCCCCCATTGTCTTTTATGGCACCTACCCGCCGCTCATGGGTAGTTGAATAGCTCCCACTCGCAGGGCACGAGTCGGGGCACGGAGGGACACTATGTCCCCCCACGCTAGTTAATAGACGCCCCACCATGAGGGCCATTTATTGGGGGGAAGAGTAACAGTGAGCTCACTGTTTAATAGACATGCCCATTTCAATCTCCCTTATGCTAATACGAGGGTCATATTGACCCCCATAGAGTGAAGGAGAACATGGGAGGTTTATGAAGTGGTGGGGAGCACAGCTGCCTCTTCTATTTTTACATATTACAGCCGGTAGCTCCCTCCTTGTAATAAACTGAACAAACGAACATCGACACTCGGTGTTTGTTTGTCTGAAATTTCTATTCAATAGTCATTCTCACAAATGAATGGACAAAATTCACGTCCGAATTTCGGACAATAGCGAATGCCCAAGTGTTTAACTGGGCATGCGTGGAAATTTCCCAGCGCTATCTTGTGTGTGCATATGACGTGTCCCACAGGGCCTTCATCTGCCCACACAAAGATGGCGGCGCCCAGGACCTAGGTCGGGGCACAAAATAAAGATTTAAAAATAGGTAATACGGTAGGTTTAGGGGGCATTTGGGGGTGACTATGGGGGCAATTAGAGGGGGGTTAAAAAACAAACAGATGCGGGCATGACAATGTCGGTTTAAGCTATTTCTCCCCAAGAGTCCCACAGAAGCAAAACACTAGAATGCATAACTCCAGAATAGCAGGACTGACCCCAAGGAACAACAATCTGGCACTACGCCGGCTAGCTGGCAGGTAAAATAACCGAGGCATATCTACTGCAACCCAACAGAGAGCCGTGAACTAAAAGGATTATTTACAGAATACACCATGAATGGCAACATTGAAATCCAAAAATATAATTCAAAATCAAAAATTGGATATTCACTATAGGAAACTGGGCAATAAATTTGCCCTAAAATACAACTTAATTTCACAGCTGAAAAAAAAAAAAAAAAAAAAAGGTTAAAAAAGGAACTAGGGTAGAGATATTTATTAATCCGCAGACTCTCCTTGACATTGGACATTCTGAGAGTTTTTGTTGTCAGCCTTTCGCAATTGACATAACAGGAATTAGAAAAACCTGCATCCAATAGGCAGTAATAAATCGCTATTTAACTACTAGAGATATACTTTATCCGCTAACAGAATATAGCCCTTTGTTAGAATATGGGAGAGATGACTGCCATTTGTAATACATTATAAAGAATAAAATCACTTGAAACCAACAATTAGCACACACACCTCTGAACTTTTATTTATTGCAAATCCTCACAGCTTCCTAAGTGAGACATCTCATTGCTAGGAAGTGTCCAAAACGGCGTAACTAATCCTAGCATTCTCATTATTTATAAAGCGCCCTGCCTCTCTGACATATGTTCGTATCGGAAACGGCGTATAGCTGCAAAGAGGTTTGTTAGTGACGGCAATCCTTACAAACAGCAATCTATGAAAGTGCAAACATTTTCATGAAGTAAGAGCAAATCTCAGAAAGCTCGGTGACAATGCTGCAGCATTTCTAAAGAAAACCTGCATACAACATATAACAGGGAAAAATAGTCTCTGCAGAATAAATAAATAAAATTCACCAAAAGATGTGAGCAGCAATGGGCTTTATTAAAATGCAATCAATAGAACCACCTATTAAATAAAATACAATATTATTGACTACTGAGCCAACCTTTACAAAGCCACGAGGGACAAAAATGTATACAAGAGCCATTCATTGTGTGGGCCGAGAGAATCAAAGGTTTCCATTTAATAGCATTTCTTATAAGTCAGCAACATTCAACTGTGACGAGAAAGAGCACATAATCTAGTCGATAACAAAATGCTCAAGGTGCTTTATTCCACTGATCAATGTGTGCGTGTTTAACCCCTTCAGGACCCCAGTTATGCTAATCAGTTATTGTGACAGCTCTGACATATCAATGGTTTATGAAACATGCATTACTGTAAATCTCAGTGTGGCCATTAAATAAGAGAAAGACAGAGATGGAGAAAGTCAGGGAGGGAGGAGGGGTAAGTAAGAACAACAAAGACTGGAGAGTAACGACGAAAGAGGCAACAGGCATTAAGATTGGAGTCCATTGATATGATTCTTGGGTTATTTTATCCTGTGGCAACCAAAGAAAACTCAAAATACCATATGGTGGCTGCCTCACGAAATTACTAGACAAAGGTTATTCAATAAATTGTGAATTGTTGGCAATACAAACTTCAAGTTTTAGACCAAAATAGCTGAATTGTCAGCTTTGGGTTCAGCTTCGTCAATGTTGCCTAAAATATGAATACACCTCAAAATTTATGATATATAACATTTTATCCATTAACCCTGTCTGTTCATTGAAAAACTGAAAAATGCATATTCCTTACGTCTAAGGTGGCAGTTCCTGGTTCTGAGTGTACATATAATTGCATTTTAGCTTTTTGTTTTCCAGCCAAGTAAATCAGACCAGAAGCTATGCAAGAAGACACTTTATCTCGCATAGTTAAGAATAGAGTTTGATCTTGCCGTGTGCGTGATTTTTATATGTGCGTGTGCATATTCATGCTTTGCATTGTTTGTTTGCCATATATAGATTACAAGGAACACCGTGAGAATACAGCGCTTTCCTATCACAGCCTACGGTTCAATGACTACACTTCTATCACGGCACTTTACGCCTGTCAGACTGGCAGAGAAGATGTGTTTTGTACTGGTGATGGCTAACCTTTGGCATTACAGCTGTTACGGTTGGCTCTGCCAGCCAAGGTCATCATACAGAGGACATGTAAACAATCAGCATAGCTAAAAGTGATGCACATGACAATAGGTCTCAATGCGTCTTGAAAACAACGTTTGCGCAAATAATTAGCAACGCATACCAACTGCTCACTTTCTATTAACTATCTCAGCCAACTACATGCAACAATTCTCTTTATAATGTACAAGTCAGTCACTAGCAACATGTAACTCAAATGACCAGTCATTTATTCAAACCTCCCAACTGTCCCGAATTTAGCAGGGCATGATTTTGGTGTCCTGTCACTCTATCCCATTTTTAGTCCACTTCATGGGGAACCAGACACAATGTTCCCAGAAACCCAGCAAGGGCACATCACAAGATCAGCTTACACAGCACATACTACTGCTTCAAAAACAGTCTGAGAATGGGCTGTCTACCACAGGGCCAGTCAGTGTGTCTGCCTTTCAGCATGCTTTCATGTAACCAGGCTAACACGGACCATTAGCTAAATCCAAGTATTTATAGTTTAAATGCCCAGCCACGGTTTAACATGTCCATTTAGGAAATACACCTTGATTGGTGCAAAGAACTAGATACAACACTTATTTAAAAGAACAATTAGCAAATAAAGAAATATATATCTATATATGTATATAAAACACACACACTGGCTATTGTTTAATCGAGAACGTTTTCTATTAGAGTTCTAGACTAGAATTATGCAGAAGACTATCGTGAGTCCATAAGCCATGATGTGAGTGTTCCCATATCATAATCTTTACATTTACCAATTATTGAATTTGATGCTATAAGCAAATAGCAGATAAAGAAACACAATTGGAAAACTGTTACATTTACCCATACATCTGGGGACTTGATTTAAAGGTGCTTTAAAAAGGAGTACTGCTTATCTGATATCAAATTAGGAAGTACTTAGCAAAAACCATAGCGAAGGAGATGCTTAGAGCATTAGAATAATCTAATTTACTATTCTGTGTCTGTAGTTGATGCAATTTTCTATTGTTTTTAGCCGTCAAATCTTAATCTTTTCAGTTGAACAGACCACTGTACCGCCCACTCCACTCAATTACAATAACCCATTTCTTATCTTTTGACAAAAACGAGAAGTTTGATGCATATTACATCTACAAAAGGAAAGAAAATAGCTTTTTCGAATCCTTACGTAATTGAAATGAATGTGGCTGAGAAGACTTTTAATAATGTCCCTAAAGACACAGCCTTGTAACTGTTCGGCTAAAAATGAGACAGGCTCGGAGGTCGGAGCTCCATTTTTGGATAGCAGAGAAAAGTATTTCATGCATATCTTAAAAACCTCACAGGGAATTCATTGTTTGCTAAAAAAAAAAAAAAAAATACATTGTTTAAAAAAAACAACAAAAAACATCTCTCTCACAAAAAAATGTACTGAACAATACTAAAATAACAATATAATTGCTGTATTGTAATGGAAACATTGAAGGTCACTGACAAAGATAAACTATTGATTAATGGACACCCTTAGGACAATAAACTTTGATGACAATTGTATCTCTTTTTTTGTTTGCTTCCTCTGGTTTCTGACACACAGTTAGACTGGGCCACTGAGCCAAGTATATAGAGCTGCTTTAGGGCTTAGTTCATTCAATTAGAAAATCAATATGTTTGATTTCAAAAAATCGATCCCATCAAAAGCTCCCTTCAGATTGATTGCTGTTGTGTTAGAGATAAAAACCCCTGCTGGTCCAAACCAATTTTAATTTCTCTTTCCACAGAACGTGCTACCATAATCCACGGAGATTCCTTGGAAGCAAAATAAAAATGTAGTGTAGTATATTGCAATATGTAAACAAGGCTAACAGTAAGAGGATATTTATAAAGAGCAAATGTAGGGCGAAGTTCTAAAAGAAGTTCCACATCATGAAAACCAATGGTATGGATCACAATATATCACCACTTATCCCACAACAGCTCTTTCAAATAACCCCTATATTCACATTGTCCGTCACAACTTCACAAACGATCATCAGGTAAGCCTCCCTAAAATACTTTGCAATCCTGATAATTATTGTGAAGAACATTACACCACATGCGACTGGGTGAATCTAAAGAGTAAATACAATTAAAAGTAGACAAAGCCAAAGCACCAGACACGTTACACAATCACAGGTACTTAGGGAGCTTGATATAGTAACAAAAACATACCATTACTTTTTATCTTCTAGGATCGGTGTAAGAAAGATGCGTAGCTAAATTTAAAGTTGGCAGAAAATCACACCTGGAAATTGAGGGAAGCGCATTTTGAACATGGTGATTATTGGAGTCAACATGGTTTTACTTAGGGCCTGCTACGCTACCATTCTACAATGAAGTGAGTAAAATTATGGATTTAGGGTGTTTCATTCGTTGTAAACTAAAGTTTGCCAATTTATTTAACGCTGCTCCACACAAAATAACGCAATACAAAAAGAAAGAGAGACTAATCAGATGGAATGCTTGTACTTGAATTCTAAAGGGTTTTTAAAATCAGAAAGAACGCAATTTCAACCTGAAAGGATTCCTTACATCCGAAGCCCACTCCCTTAGTTTGTAACGTCATAACGAACAAATTTAACTTCCACATTATCAGCACAAGCTGTTGTATAGAGGTAGCTTGCAATCCACAGCTACCATTCATTAAGCTATTGGATTGTGCAAATATCTCCATCTTGACAGTTCTGCTTTAAATGACATCTGCTGAGATACAGAGAAATGAGGATTTGATCTACCGAAGAAGAATGTCTTTTTTACAGTAAGAACAATAAGCATATGGAAATTGCCTAGAGACATCGTGCTGCTAAATGTACTAAAAGATAGGGGTTGAATTTTTATTTTATTTTTTTCACCCCCCAAAAAAAATGGCAAAACATAAGCAACAATCTTATGGTTATTTCATATAATTACTTGTAATAGAAAACAGAAATTAAAAAATAAATAAGATATTATTGTAAATAAAATGATATTTAAGTTAAAAAATAAATAAATGCTGAAAATAAACTCTCTTTCTTGGTGAGCTACACTTAAACATTGCTACAATTGCTGAAAGTAACTACAACAAACATACACGTGACATATGCTATAAAAATGTCAAACTAATACACAGTGGTCTGATCAAAAGTCTCTAGATTTAATGGTATGGCATTCTCCGCAAACTATTTGCAAACCAACAGATATGTCAAGGTCAGGGCAATATATTTATACCTTGGTCACGCTAACAGGGACAATGAATCGGGCTAAACGGTTAGAATTAATGAACAGCAGATGGCGCAGTTGGCATCAGTATGATTTAAGGCAATTTAAAAAAAAGAAAATTGAATGTCATTAAATAATAAATCAAATCAAAAAAAAGTTTAGTTCTTGTTTTTTGTTCTTTAATAATAAATGTTTGATCTACACTGGGTATAATGCTTTCTGATGTCCTACACTCAGCGCTTCCCATTTCTATATTAATTTTTTATATATATATATATATATATATATATATATATATATTTATTCTTTTGAAAAAAGAAAATATTTGTCTCAAGCAGTATTGCTAGAATGATAAAGTCGACTAAAATAGATTCTATAAACAAACACGAGACAGATAGTTACAAAATGACATTACAAATGTCTTGAGATTTTGAAGAGTAAACTATGGAGATATAAAGAAAGTGTTTTAAAATGTTATGGTCACAGTGGTAGGAGTCCGTATGTGCGGTGCAGTGCAGTGTTTCTGCTGGAAACTAAATATTTTGTAATTGTGCGCAAGGTACTAATTGCAACCACAAAACACGCGACAATGGCATCCCAGAGCTTTGTTTAAGGCTGCCTAATGTCAATTCTGTGCGTAATTTACATCTTCTGAACTGCACGCTGACAGACCTGAAAATATTTTCCTTGCAGGGGAACAATTTTTTTTAATCCCCTCCATTCTCTGCACTCCCTCCTTGCCCTCTCCAGCCTGTAGCTCGCACACGCACTCTGAGCTGGCGAAATTATCCATTTATAGGTTTCTTTCTGAAAAACATCCCCAGTAATGTCAGGAGGGATCGCGGAAGATGGAGTAAAACCCACTATGGCATATTCAGCAAGAAAGGCCCTCCCTCTCAAAAGGGTTATAGTAACCCTGTAAGACTAGATGTGAAAACTAACCCCATCACAAACAAACATATATATTAAAAAAAAAAAAAAAACGTGGCAATTATCATAAAACATTTTTAAATTAAGGACCATTTAGATGCAAGGAATAAAGCAATAAATGCTTTTAAAGCAGTCAATTTTAATTTAGTGTTACAATCCACTGAGTGAAAGCAATGGACAACGTACTGGGGAAGTAATATAAAGTATGTTTTAACAATGTTTCTGAATACCATTTTTTTTATCATGACATGGTAATTTATAGTTATTACAGTAAAGAATAAGCAGTTAAACTTATTCCACAAAGAACCTTACAATTAAAGATACATATTAATAGATATATTGAACACATGGCTGACCGACAGCAATGCATATTTAAATATAGCTTCTGATCAATGCTAAAAATTCAATATTCACCACCAGAATAGATTAATGTAGTGTCACTTACCCGGATCCATCCGGAGAGCTGAAAAAGACCAGCCATCCCAGACATCCTAGAATAGTAGAGGCTGGTATTAAAAATATGTATACATATATGCAATCAATAAACATAAATATCAAATTTACAAACTGCTAGAGCTGCATGGAAATAATTTAAAGGGACACCAACACAACTGTAATGTATATTTTGGACTTTTGCTCATTAACATGCTCGACAAAATAATTTTGCATGTTAAAATCTTTGTAGATTTTCAAGAAGGAAAAAGAAAAAAAAAAAAAACATGGCAGAATGAGGTACCATAGGTCTGCCTCCATCATGACAACTTAAACTGGGGAAGCTCAACAACCACTTTTTTTTTTTTTTTTAAGTTTGTTTTTGGTGATGTCTGCGGAACAGATTTTGAAATCTCTCAATGCCATCTTACATTGTAACAATTTTAATGGAAGAGTAAGTCGACTCTTCCCAATGTAAAAGATCACCATTGTACTGGGGAAGGGAGTGTTGAGACAGATCATTTATTGTAGGCAGCTTCCTAAAACATGGTCAACACTATGAGCTTGTTACAACCACAAGGGGTACAATAAAATAGTTGGAACCACAATTTGGAGTCTGTGCTAAGGAGTTAAAACCAGTGATCAGACTTAGAACAGGCTTAGTTTACTCAGTCAACCATTGTCCTATTTTCTTTTGTTTGTTAAATATCATAGCTGCATATATCCAATTTATCCTGCCCAGAAGGTATTTATGATGCAGTTTACAAGTTGTGAGAGGTTTCATTCATTGAAAAAAAAAAAAAAAAGGATTAAACTACTTCACAAGCAAACACAAGCCATGTGTGCATGTTAGAAAAAAATACCACGGAGAAAGCATTGTGGGAGCATATTTAACCCCTTAAGGGCACAGCTTCAGAAGAATATTTCCGTCAGGGGTCTTTAAGGGGATAACTTATTTAGGGCTTGTACAGCTTTAAATATTATTTAAGATAGCAATTGCGGAGTAAAATGTTTCCCCATGTTAACTGATAGAGCATTGACCACTTCACTACCAGAATCAAGTATAAACATGTTTAATTTCATGTGTTTTGCAGAATGAAATTTAGATCATATTGCCTCACTCACTGACCTCCATTTATATGGTTATGAGTCATAGCGTCCCTTCAGTCAGGGAAGAGTGGGCAGTGAGTGGACTACCATTTATTTACCTGTTACATTAGAATTCCAGAGCGTTAAAAAGATTGCTTTATTTCAGTAAGTTGCACTGCTAGTAATGCCTTCAGGATCCTTTTAAATACTTTCAAGCAAGACATTTGACTGTTTTTAGTCATCTATTTTTGACACTGCAAGATCAAGGACACTGTATCCTATCTAAAGCTGTCCATTTTCCAAATATCTTTAAAGGACCACTATAGGCACCCAGACCACTTCAGATTAATGAAGTAGTCTGGGTGCCAGGTCAATCTAGGGTTAACCCTTTTTTTTTTATAAACATAGCAGTTTCAGAGAAACTGCTATGTTTATAATAGGGTTAATCCAGCCTCTAGTGGCTGTCTCTTGACAGCCGCTAGAGGCGCTTGCGTGCTTCTCACTGTGAAAATCCCAGTGAGAAGGCGCCAGCGTCCATAGGAAAGAATTGTAAATGCTTTCCTATGAACTGGCTCAATGCGCGCGCGGCTCCTGCCGCGCATGAGCATTCAGCCGATGACGTCACTATGGAGGAGGAGAGGAGGAGGAGAGCTCCCCACCTGGCGCTGGATAAAGGTAAGATTGTAACCCCTTCCTCTCCCCAGAGCCTGGGGGGAAGGGGACCCTGAGGGTGGGGGCACCCTCAGGGCACTATAGTGCCAGGAAAACTAGTATGTTTTCCTTGCACTATAGTGGTCCTTTAAGAAGGCTGAACGAATAAGTGAAAAATAAAGTTGGTGTAAACTGACATAATTTCAATTGTTACGTTTGTCTGCAAAGCAACCTATGTTTTTTTAGGATATGTTTATATGCTAGCTATGCACCCCTTGCTTCAAATACATGTTATACTAATATTTTGAAATCAAAACATTCTTAGTGGTGAAGGGGTTAATGTGTACCTGTCTCGGTAAACAGAACTCCTCCTCCCCCAATTCTTTATTTATGAAGCTAGTAATGAAAACAAGCATGTATCAATGTGAAAGAGCATTATATTTATACATACTTTGTGCTAGCAGAACGGCTAGAAAATAAAGATTCCAATTTAATGCTCTATAAAAATGTGGCCCCTCTCTCATCTAATCGAGTGACAGTGGAATACACTCCCACAGGTGGTCGTCCTATTCTGTTACAATTATATCCCCCCCCAGCAATTGTTACTCAGGGTTGCAAAGGGAATATAAAGACAATCTAATGCCAATGCACTGGCACTGAAGCCAGCATGTTGGTGTGATTAGGTAGGCTTGCCCTGCCTAGGTAAATGTCTCCATGCAAGGCCACTCTCAACAAATTCCATTCCCATGTCAACAAAGAAAAAAAACTTACAAAATGGAGGATGGGGACTTCCAACAACCAATGGGTTCCACCAGCTTCCATTTCTCCTCTTTGATGAAGGACTGAAGGTCCTCAAAGATACGAGAGCCGTGATACCTCCGAAACACTCCATCCTTGGCACTGGGAGTTACACAGATGAGAAGTTACATAAATCTTAATCAATCATAGTCATATTCATAAATCATATTCTTTCTAGAGGGATCTGTATTAAGCTCCTGGTGTTTCATCTGTCTGGAGCCCATATCAGTGTTCCATTGGTATGCATGAGTCTGCAACACAAGGTAAGGTCTACAAAAAAGAACCACTATATTAGGCTGAAGTGGTTCGGTGCTATTTATATTAATGAAACTTGGAAGCTTGTTTTTGTTACGTTTGCTTTAAGATATATTGGTTGCGTTGGAATTTCAATGAATTTCTAACTAATATAGTATGCGTATTTTAACAAATATTTGAACTTAATGAAATACTCAAATGTGACAGAACACATTAATATAAAGAGATGTATTTAAAAAAAAAATCATAACTTACTGAAAAATAGATGGAAGCGTTGTGACGAAAAAACGCCCACTCAGCCCTGTAAAAGAAAATAAACTTAGGGTTGCAGGGGTAAACGGATAAAAAGCACACACGATTACATAAATAATCAATAAAATGGCACACTAAATACCTATAACAAGTAAGGCTAGGATTACCTTAAAATTACTGGGTAGAAAGCATACAAATACCACAATACATCTACAATAGGTGTTTTCAAGCTATGCACTCAATAATAAAAAAAAATAAACTAAAATAATTAAAAGTAAAACGTGTAGCAAATAAAAATAAATGTTTTGCAGAATTCTACAACTTAATTCTCCTGCACTCTAAAACATTTTCTTCTTGCCCATTATAGCAGCTGGTACTTGATATCACATGTCCTAGGAGCCAGCAGCAGTCATTAATTTGGTTATTAATTCCCTCCTCAAAAATGGATATACTGGTCGAAAGGTTGAGTAGATGTTTCCCCAGTTTCTCTTCTGATATACCACAAAATGATACAGGCTTAATTAAGGCCAATTGCTTTTGTCCATCGATATCCCGTTGCTTCCTCAAGATTGAAGGTACCCCAACCCTTCTACTAAGCCCATTTTTTGCCCTGAATATAATGTAATATAAGAGATATGAAATACTGAAGTATGTGTTATGGGAATAATCAATCATATTTGTGCTTCACATACATATCTAAATCTTTCTCTTTCTAAAACACAGACAAAGAGAAATGCACAAGGTTAGACAGCCCTGCAGACTTTTGTGTTTTCCCAACAAATATATTAAATTTTTTTATGTTATGCTTTGTGAAAAAATATAATCTACAAACTGAACAGAAAATAAACAAGAGAACACTAAAACCTTTTTAGTGGTTTAAGCCTTATACTTTTGAGGATTAAAATAAAACATATGCTCAGTAGAACACCTTGCCAAGGTGACTTTACCGAGACAAAATAACTCCTTTGTTGATACAAACAATTTCACTTTCCCTAGATCAGCATGCTGTGTGTGTTTAATTTAGTGGGTATAAGAATGCATGCCAAGATTCTTTGAAAAAATAACTTTTTATTTTATACAGCCTTGTTCGCTTCCGTCAGCATAGAGAGCGAAGAGAAACACAATGTCTTTGTGTTTCATCCTTCAATGCAATGAGGTCCTTTGGCTGTGCCAGAAACGAGCTAGATTGTGATGTCAATTGCTAAATCACGGGAGCTGTAGTGGTTATGGGGCCATGAGTGTGCTGGCACCCTCCCAGACTAAACTTTTAAAAACGGTTTGACAACCCATCTCGGTCCTTCACACTGGACCCCTTTCTCAAGAGATGCTGGATTTTTCCACTGATCTAAGCAGGTTCGATTGAGGACCACACGGATTGGCTAGAACAGCTCAGTTGATGCTTTCAGCCAATGAACCCTGCTATGCACGGCCCTGCTTTTCTGTATAGAGTTACCTGGTTTCCCCAGTAAGGTGAATCCAGATGCAGGGCTGCGGCTCAGGCAACCGGAGGCACCCAGGTAAGTTGTCATACCATTCTAAGACAGCTTGGCTACATACTGTGGGAGGGTGCCAGGACATTCCAAATACCATGTCCACTGCACCTTCATATACATTTAAAAGAAAATAGCATACAACATGAGCAAGATTAACAAAGGTTACAGGTGGTTTTCAAAGGTTTAGTAATTTGTGTTACTTTGAAGCAGTAAAGCTAATGTGTCTCTCTCTTATTAGAGTTCTATACTACATATCTTTATATCCCAGGACGGGAAGGGATGAGTTCCCTTAGCTACATGATAGGTTAGCACTCTCAGCTAATTATGTCCGTTGCTCGATTTCCCAATAGACATTGAAAATGTGGAAGTGTAAAGTCCATATTATCTATGCAGCTGAGAACAGAGGTGGAATCCAGGTGTTGAAAAGTCACACGTTTCGACAAACCACTCCTAAAGGATTTGCCAAAAATCAAGGGACAGAGCCCATAGAGTATTAGCAACATAACCCCCACAATGAGAGACAGTGGTTTGGTTTCCCACACTGTCCTTATAATTGAAGGCAAATACTTTTGTTACAGTGAGAACAAGTCTGTTGTCTTCAAAAAAATACATTTCCAGGACTAAATGTATCAAAACCCTGCTACTTTGCAATGAAAGAACAATGTTCTACTCTAGAGGCCTCCCCCCCACCCCTCTTGCAAATCATGGTGTGATAAAATAAATGGAAAGTCAGCATCAAAGATTATTAACCTTTTTTGAAATTTCTCACACACTGTTTACGATGTTCCCCACATCTTATCTTCTGTCTGAATTTCCTTTTCAAATCACACTACAGTTTTTCTCAACACATCAGTTACAATACACTTTTAAAAGTCTTCCCGGGAGCACTCAATTCCCAGTCCACATGTTTTTCATAACTTATTCAAAGATTTTTCAGAAAAAGGGGAAACTTATTCTAAACCATTGGTGTAGCATAAATATACAATGTATAGAAACGTTAAAAAGCAAAAATATAGGATTCCTATAGACCTCTGCTGCTCTTAGAGGTTCTCAGAACTCATAGCGTGGGCAACAAGTAGAATCAGTCCAAATTCCCCAAGGTCAAAAAGATCTAATCCAAGCTGGATGACACTTTTTATGTATTATATAGAAATATACATTAAGCACACACACACACAGAGACACATTACATATTAGTTATATATGTTTACAATCTCAATGATTATCTCTCTGCTTTAGAGATACAATTTTTTTAAGGGTGAATAAGGAGGGGGATTACCTATATTTGATTACCGATACTAATGATCAAGCATAATGATTAGAGGATTACCAGATCATTTTAAAAGATATATGTTGTATCACTTATGCTCCTTGGTTTAATATTAATACAAAATGAAAAGGTAAAGATAGGTACAACATAAAAACAAACAAAAAGAAAAGAGATTGATATTCACAATATAAATAATATATACAAGAAACAGCAAACTATAAAGGTCTGCCTGTTAGAGGACTACACACAGCTTTAAATGTTCTGATTCAAATGGAAAAGCTTGTCTGTTGTAATAGATGTCTTTAAGTGCTTTTAATGGAAAGGTAACAGCTAGTGGAACTTCCGTGCATGCTAGGGAAAGACTATAGGGAAGACTTTTTTTTCCGATCAGGCCACTGGTGGAACTAATTGCTGCCTATATCTAAGGCTACTTATAAAGCAGATTGCATTTTTGATGGTTATTCTACTATAAAAAAAAAAGGAATGGGCGTGTAAGTCTTGGTTATTACATAATTGCTATGTAAATCTTCATCAATAAGCAGAGTAAGTGAAACAAAATCACAAGTACCTATACGAAAACCTATAGACTATGAACACAAGGAAAGAATAAGTCAAGGAGGGGACTAAAGAAAAAGAAAAGGAAATTTAAAAAAAAAAAAAAAAGAGGAAGGGCGAAATTAAGGTTTTGAGCTGGGATGGAGTAATTGTGCGAGGAAAGGACTAGAAATGTCACAAAAAACTGATTTAAAAAGTAACCACGTACATGTTCTTCTGACAGAGTCAATACTACGATCAGAATAGGAGTTTGGGAATAAAAGCATATGGCATAAGTGATAGAGACAAAAAAAATGTAATCACTGAATGACATAGCTGAGTCCTCATTTACTGCAGCCTTCATTAAACTAATCATGTTTACCATTTATTTATGAGATGAGTACGATCATATATTCACATTAAAGGAACATTATAGGGTCAGGAACACAAACATGTATTCCTGACCATATAGTGCTAAAATCACTATCGAGCCCCCCTGATCCCTTTTACCTCCCTAAATATAGTAAAACCTTACCTTTATTCCAGTCTGCAGGTGCTGAATCTGTCCCTGATCTGTCTTCTTGGCTGACATCATCAGAAGTGGTAATCTGATCACAATACTTTCCCATAGAAAATCACTGGATTGGCTGAGACTGTCAAGAAGGCAGATTAGGGGCAGAGTCAGCACAGGCCAAACAGAGCCCTGGCCAATCAGCATCTCCTCATGGAGATGCATTGAATCAATGCATCTTCACGAGGAACGTTCAGTGTCTCCATGCACAGTGTGCAGCATTCTCCCAGGAAGAACCTCTAGCAGCCATCTGAGGAAGGGCCACTGGAGGTGTCCCTAGGCTGTAATGTAAACACTGCCTTTTCTCTGAAAAGACAGTGTTTACTGTAAAAAGCCTGAAGAGACTGACTATACTCACCAGAACAAATACAATAAGCTGTAGTTGTTCTGGTGACTATAGTGTCCCTTTAGAGGCATTTCCTTTGATCCTGTATCTCTCATTACTAAGAACGTTGTGTTTAAAGGGACACTAGGCACCACAATCACTTCATCTTAAGGAAGTGATTTGGGGGCAGAGATGCTGCCCCTGTAGCCTTACTGTTGTAAAAAGGGTGGTTTCTAAGCAATGTCTTTCTTCACATTTTTGTATTCCCACATCTACTGATGTGTGTCAGGGAATCTGCTACTAGTAGCTCTGGACAGATATAAATTCAATAATTGAGTCTCTTTGGATGCTGATTCCAGGTGTCAAATAGATTCCATGATGGAATCATAGTGAAGCACTGAATTAATGTATCGTGGCAATTGCTGTGCATCCACTGTGTCATACTGACAAGCTTGAAGAATACCTTAGATGTGGAATATGTTTTATTCCACATCCAGGGCATACTTCAACTTTGTCAGGTAGTTCCGTTCATGTTTTTTATGAATATAGATACATGGGAGAGAAAGAAGGATTCCTTTTTATTTTCATAAAAATAAATAAATAATAATATACGATATATACAAATATACCTATCACTGTAGTATACCTGGTTCTTGTGTGACATCAACTTTCCCAACATTAATATCAAGCGTGCCGCTTTGTTCTCCCAAATTCTCCCATTGTGCATAGATTTGTTGGCACGCAGGACACCATGGAGCATAGCTGGACAAAACAGAAGTGGATTTTGGGTTAAAGTACTTATAAACATTCCCACAAAAGAATAAATCGATGAAAGAACACAATACAAAGCAAACTGACAAAACACAAAAACATTAAATCACAACAGACAAGCGGAGGTCTATTATCACTGTGAATTCATTCATTACCGACAGAATTATTTATTTACCAAAGTGAGATTTGTTGGGAATTCACAGTGAATTCCGAATTAGTTAAACTTGAAAAATTCTCCAAGTCATCTATAACTCCAGTTCAGCTATATTGGCCTTAAATTTAAAATTCCCTCTGAATTCCTAACAATTCTTAATTTAGTGAAAACCGTTTGACCCCTTAAACACCAAACTTCTGGAATAAAAGGGAATCATGACATGTCAAGGGGTTAAACAAACATCAGACATGAATGACACCTCTCCTTTTGAGGATAACTCTTCAGTATCAAATTCACTCAGATTCAATCGGAAACCTTCCAAACACTAACCAGTCAAAACCCAGGATAATTTTTGTCTTTTTGGAAGTTATTACCACCCATTCAGCAGCGGAAAGCAAAAAAAATGCAAAAGTTTTTACATTACACTCAAATATATTTATTCTTGTAGAGTCATAGCAGGAGCACTTATCTGAGGTGTCCACATGTCACAAGTTTAATGGCTCGGCCTGGTGACACTAAACCGTGACTATTGAATGGTTATTTGAGTACATATTTACTCACTGCTGCAGGACTAAGTGTCTATCTCAAGAGTTGCCCCGTCAACATAGTTTAGTTGTCTACTGTCAATTACATAAACCAGAATCACTTGCCCATCACAAAATTGTCACTTCTCTGGGTTCTACTAAAGGGACCTTGATTCAGTATTTCTTTAATAAATTAAACAGTGTATTGTGAGAATACATTTATAAAAAAAAAATGAAATAAATTGAAACTAATGAAAAGATACTCAGATGTAAAATAACTGCATTTGCTGCAAATTACAAGAGTCTACAGCATCTGCAGTAATATCGCTTATCTTTCTATAGCACTTACGCAGATATGAACTTCTGTATTGGACCCTGCCGATTTGAATGGGAATGAGCTACATATCGAATCAAAATGAAACGAGAAAATTAAATGACGTGTTAAAGCAAAAAGAAAGAATGACAACAGCTTAGAGAGACTAAATAGCTTGCCCTTCGGTAAATCCCTGCTCAGGTCTCAAAATAGTTTTTGCTCACTTGTGCCATTACAGAGAGAACATATCTGAATCATATCAGACTGGTCCCACCTGTAAGGGCAGTCCAGATCCAAAATGCCAGCAAGATCTTGCATACTTGTTTTTTGCTCTCCCTAAGTTTAAAGGGTAATCCAGACATGGACCCCTTGCTCACGGTGCCTACAGAGATATTGGCTATACCTCACTAACAAGATTGAAACGATCGTATGGGGTTGCTGAATCTCTTGTGCAGAAAGAGTCAGTCTGCATTTTGGATCTGTCCTGCCCTATTGGGTGGGATCAGTCTGATATGAAAATGGTACAAGTTGAGCTAAAACCAGCTTGATAACCGAGTGGGGTCCCACCGAGGGGCAGGCTAATTGAGCTGTTCTCCGTTCTCAGTACTCTCTTGCAACTTGTTTTTTGCTCTTCTTAAATGACATGTGGCACAATTAGGAATATTTTGGCAGAAATAAGGGAATAATAATTTGGAAAGAGGAAAAGCTCCAACAAGTAACAAAACAGCCTAAAAAGTGAACACCGCACTTTTTATACATAATCGCCAATATTATAATTGCAGCAAGACCTTGAAAGAACACAAACAAACAAGGTAAAAACAAATACACAATAATGTTTCTGAAGGCTTTGGTATATTTTTAAGATGCCCTCTGGATTATGAATGAGCATATCCGATATAAAAACAATTTGTGCTACTTAGAAGAAAATGCACTTCCATTTCTCCTGCTCCACTGAAACTTAATCATAATCACAAGTTGCTTCAAGCAAGTAATTTATTACGAGAACAAAGCATTAAAGGTTATTGTTCTCTAAAGTTGGCTCTCGCATTTGTATGTGTTTAACTCTTTCACTGAACACATGTGAACTTGTTTATATCATCACATGTCTGGCTATTTATACTGTGCACTCTAATGGATTTTAGCTTGACAAAGGCTCTTAGGATGTTGACGCATTGCACTTTATGTCACAATAAATCTGCCTGGAATTACAGCCAATCTGTGCCCCGTCTGTATGTAAACTTTTTTTTTTTTTGCCAAAGAGGCAGTCAGTAAAAAGATGTGCCATGTTTTATTTTTGTTCTATAAACACATTATGTCAGAAGCAATGATGTTGTAGCAAATCAATTTCTCTAGAACGCCAACTCTTATATGCAACTCCAGCCATCGATGCAAGATGGCAAGAACTGGGAGATGTAGTTTTTGGATACTTGCTTAGATTCACACTACTTCTGTAATATACCGGTTAATTCGTTAAATTAAGAATTGACTGAAGAGCAGGAAAATTAAGCAAAACTAAATAATCTGGAAATATAGCTTTAAGGTACACTATAATTATCAAAACCACTATACTTTAATGCCATGTAAAGCATTGCCAAAGCTGTTTACATTTATCCTAGAACACACCTAAATTGGAAGCCAGAAAGAGAAGCAGCACTACACAACGAACACAGCTATTGTTCGTTAAAGATAAGTACTGGACTGGCACAGCATTTTCTGCGCATGCGCCATAGGTTTGCAATAATTTTTTTATGAGATGCACTGGATTGAACCAGAGATCGCTACACATGATAGACTCATAGTGGGAGGAGTGGCTGAAGAGCAGCGTGTGTCCATGTGCCGTATTAGAGGTACACTTCATTTTTTTATTTTCAAATAATCTAAACAAAGTAAGGGACACATACAGGGAAATAATGGACATTTGTTTTAAAGTTAGTTTCGTGAAACTGAAAAAGTTTTAGTATTCAGCTACTTTGGCATAAAATTTGAATTTCTCTGGTCAGTTCCAGCAAGCCTCAGTTTAGTAATTTATTTGCTTAACCCCTTAAGGACCAAACTTCTGGAATAAAAGGGAATCATGACATGTCACACGTCAGGGGTTAATGCTTATGCATTCTTTGGTCATACTGAAAGTGCAGTCTAGCTTTAGGAGAATACCCTCAGTGATCTAATTCTAATGAGATTCCAAAGGAACCGTCACAACTTGCTCAGTGAAATCACAGTAAAAGTATATACTGCTGGACAGTACTATCAAACCCTGCCACTCAAAATGCAGAATCCATAATTAGCACACCAAATCTGGTAATCTGTAACGCAACTGCAATGTGTGTACTGAGTTTTGAGTTAAAATAAATGGTTTGCATCAGCAGTGCTTGACATGCAGGGACAAGAAAGCCAAGATCGTCTTATCTATCTACATGAATGCTTTTCTGACGGTGTGTTTTAAATAAATGCTTAGTCACAAACTGTCATTTTGTACCAATTTCTACTAAAACCAGAAATTTTACAAAATAAATAAAAAATAAATCAGACTAGCTTTTCACTTTTAAGGCAATTATGCACAGCAGGGGTGATGCTGTGACGTCTAGGGCAAAAGACAATTGCTTTTCCAATCATTTAGCTGCATAAATGAACTCAGTGCTTATTCATTGCAAGCAACTAGCTTATTGTATACAACTGTTGACAGCTGATTGCTGGACTTAGTCGGAGAATTTGGAAAACGACCAAATCAGATTGCTGAGGGTCCATCCTGTACATGGTGCTTAATAAACAAGGAAACAGACAAATAATTAGCAAAACCCAAAATATTACTGCTGCCACTTTTATTTTCCCTTTTCAGTATTTTACATTAAAAACAATTTGGATGGTTGGAGAGAGACCCTAGGGGTATTCAACCACCCAACCATGTATGTGCAGCTCAGTGTCGGATAAGAAAAACAAGCTGTACAAGCGCAGCACAGAGAAAGTTTGGCTTCCTCTAATATACTAGAAATAAAAATGCACAATATGTGTAAATTGATGCTTATTAATTCCAATAAAAAACAGCAGCTACAACACTCCGGGATATGGAATTTTATTGATTTGTAAATTTACTTTTCCAGAGAGCGGGGGAGTTTAAACCCAATCTATTTGCCCTGACACAAAATAAACAAAATATGTTACAAAAATTGGGGCCTTTACTTAGAGCCCTGGACATTGACAGGGATTTTTGCTAAACTCATTTTCACAAATTAAATTTGTGCATTCTGCATTCACTATACACACACACACTACACAAACACACTGCATTCACAATCTGCATTCATATACTATACACACACACTACACAAACACACACACTCTATTCACTATACACACACTACACAAACACACACACACACACACTACTAGCACTGCATTCACTATACACGCACTGTACATACACTGCATTCACTTTACGCACACTACACACTGCATTCACTTTACACACACACACTACACAAAAAAACACACTCTGCATTCATATACACACACTACACAAACACACACATTATGCATTATATACACACACTGCATTCACTATACACACACACACACTACACAAACACACTGCATTCACTTTACACATACACTACACAAAAAAACACACTCTGCATTCATATACACACACACTACACAAACACACACATTATGCATTATATACACACACTGCATTCACTATACACACACACACACTACACAAACACACTGCATTCACTATACACACACTACACAAACAATCTGCATTCATATACACACACTACACAAACAATCTGCATTCATAATACACACACTACACACACACTGCATTCACTATACACACACCACTAGCACTGCATTCACTTTACGCACACTACACACACGGCATTCACTATACACACACTGCTTTCACTAAATAGACACACACTACACAGACACTCTGCATTCATTATATACACACTACACAAACACTCACTGCATTCTCTATACACACTACACAAACACATTCTACATTCATTATATACACACACACTACACAAACACATTCTACATTCATTATATACACACTACACAAATACACACTGCATCCACTACACAAACACACACAGCTCCCCTGTCTAAACACATTGCATCCACTACATGTGGCATGCATATTGTGTGCATTTACCTTTAGAAATAGTTTATTTTTTTCAAAATGGTAAATGTACAATATATCGGTAAATTATCGGCCTGAAAGTTCACAGATTGTCGGTATCGGCTCTAAAAAATCAATATCAGTCGATCCCTAGCTGTGTGTATTGTGCATGGACTGTCTTTTTAAAGTAATTTGATTCAGACTTTTATTCTCTACAAACCAAATCCTCACTAACTACATACACACATTCTGACACAATCACCACACTGACCCACACAGTGATACACATACCCACAAACACACTCTGACCAATACCCACATACAGAAAAACTAACACACACTGACTCACATACTGTAGGCCCCATTACATATTTCATATTACCATTACCAGCAACATTGTGCTATTTCAATCAGATGGTTTTAAAGATTGGCACAGTATGGCGTTTTGCTGTGCATGCGCATTAACCTCCAAATGCCTTTCTATTGGAAAGCACAGGACTGGATGAGATCACCTACACTGATGAGATCAGCCAAAGAGGTGGAGTTTTTCCACAGAGACGGGTGCAGTGAGGGCTGAATGGGAAGTAAAATTCACCCTTCCAACCCTCACACCATGATGGGGGAGGGTGGGGGACAGTATTATATATAGATTTAAACTATGTTAGGCATACATGTTTGTATTCCTAACGCTATAGTATTCTTTTGACTAACATAATACTTTAACATAATACGTATTAATGTATAGAAGCCATGGCTTTGGTGTATTGAATACCTTGGTTTTCATTATTTCGTTTTTTACATTTCAGATTCGCCATTATAACTTTCCTCTTTATGAGTCACACTATTTGCTTCATTTACAACATTAAAGGAACACTACAAGATCAGGAACATAAACATGTATTCCTGGCCCCTCCTTGCCTCACTAAAAATCTTACTTGTATTCAAGTCTGCAGCTGCTGTCTCTGCCCCTGACCTGCCTGCTGACATCACCAGAAGTGATTATGTGAGCCAATCACAATGCTTCACAATAGGATTGGCTGAGACTGTCAAGGAGGCAGATCATGGGGCATAGCCAGCACAAGTCAAACACAGCTCTGACCCATCAGCATCTTCTCATAGAGATGCATTGAATCAATGCATCTCTATGAGGAAAGTTCAGTGCCTGCATGCAAAGGGTGGGGACACTGAATGGCAGTACTGCCCAGTGTGCAACACTGCCCCAGGAAGCACCTCTAGTAGTCATCCAAAGAGTGGCCAGTGGAGTTATCACTAGGTTGTAATGTAAACACTAAATTTTCTCTGAAAAGACAGTGTTTACAGCAAAAAGCCTGAAGGGAATTATTCTACTCACCAGAATAAATGCAATAAGCTGTAGTTGTTCTGGTGACTATAGTGTCCCTTTAACCCCTTAAGGACACATGACATGTGTGACATGCCATGATTCCCTTTTATTCCAGAAGTTTGGTCCTTAAGGGGTTAAAGCCACTGACAGGTGAAATGAATAATATTGATTATACCATTATAATGGCACCTGTCAAGGCATGGGATATATTAGGCAACAAGTGAACAGCTAGTTTTTGAATTTCATGTGTTGGAAGCAGGAAAAAAAATGGACAAGTGAAAAGATTTGAGTGACTTGACAAGGGCCAAATACTGTTAGCTAAACGACTGGGTCAGAACATCTCCAAAACATGTGGTGTTCCCAGTATGCAGTGGTTAGTACCTATCAAAAGTGGTGCAAGGAAGTCATGGGTGCCTAAGGCTCATTGATGCACATAGCAAGTGAAGTCTAGCACATCTAGTTCAATCATACAAAAGAGTTACTGTAGCGTAAATTGCAGAAAAACTGAATGCTGGCCGTGATAGATAGGTGTCAGAACGCACAGTGCCTCGCAGTTTGTCTCGTTTGGGACTGTGTAGTCGCAGACCAGTCAGAGTGCCCATATTTACTCCAGTCCACCGTCGAGAGCGCCTTCAATGGGAATGTGAGCGTCAGAACTGGACCATGAACCAATGAAAGAAGGTTGCCTGGTCTGATGAATCATGTTTTCTTTTAGCTCAAGTGCATGGCTGGGTGCGTGTACGTCGTTTACCGGAGGAAGAGATGGCAGAAGCATGCACTATGAGTAGAAGGCAGGCCGGCGGAGGCACTGGTCTAATAATGTTCTGCTGGAAAATTGTTGGTCCTGCATGTTACTTTCATAAGCATCACCTATCTAGAGATTGTTGCAGATCATGTACATTCCCGTCATGGCAATGGTGTTCACTGAGGCAGTGGCCTCTTTCAACAGGATAATGCACCCTGCCACACGGCAAACATTTTTCAGGAATGCTTTGAGAAACATGACAAAGAGTTCAAGGTGTTGCCTTGGCCTCTAAATTCCACAGATTTCAATCCAAGTGAGCATCTGTGCAATGTGCTGGAACAACACATCTGATCCATGGAGACATCAACATGCAACTTGCCGGAGGTCTTGTGGAGTCCATCATCATCGGCACTCTAACAGACACAGACAACTGCAATACACTATGTGTTCTGACACTTTTCGATCATGGCCAGCATTACGCTTTTCAGCAAATTGAGCTACATTAGCTCTTCTGTGTGACACATCAGACCTGTCTTGGCAGCATGAAGGGGACCAATACAATATTAGGCAGGTGATTTGTGGCTGATTTGTGTATGTTACCATATGTTTAAAATATATATATATATACACACACACACACACATATACACACACACACACACGTACGTACGTAAAGGCACAGTGAAGATTACAGTTTTGACCTTTTTTAGCAAAACATTATGTTCAGGGTTAGACTTTTACTGTACTACTAAGGTTTAAAAAAAGAGAAAATAAGGAAGTAGAGCTAAAAATAAAATACAAAGAAACTGACAAAGATGGGAGATACAGTCAGGTCCATAAATATTGGGACATCGACACAATTCTAATCTTTTTGGCTCTCTACACGAACACAATGGGTTTGAAATGAAACAAACAAGATGTGCTTTAACTGTAGACTTTCAGCTTTAATTTGAGGGTATTTACATCCAAATCAGGTGAACGGTGTAGGAATTACAACAGTTTGTATATGTGCCTCCCACTTTTTAAGGGACCAAAAGTAATATTACCGTATATATTATCGTAATCGTATATTATATATGGCGAGTATTTCAGGTAGAAGAGAAAGATTATACATGCTTTTCAAAAACAAACTGTGCCTACTCAAGAATTGATTTAATATTAGGTGAGGCAAGACTGATAAACCACACTCAAAAGGTTAGGATTCAAGACATGGTCAGATCACAATGCTGTGATTTTAGATCTCAAAGAAAATTTAATTGCTTTTAATAGAGATTGGAGATTGAAAAATTACCTGTTAAAGAAACAAGAAAACAGAGATTATATGAACAAGATGTCAGAGCTCTACTTCCTGGAGAATGAGATAGAAAATACTTCTTTAATTACAGTATGGTGTGCTTACAAAAGTGTAGCACGAGGCCTCTTTATGAAACTAGGACCTCAACTAAAGAAACAAATCTGAAAAAAAAAAAAAAAAAAACCCCTATCCAATCTCTCTCTCTATATATAGTATATACACACACAACCATGTATATTATATATATATATATATATATACACATATACACACATATACACACACACACACACACACACACACACACACACACACACACATATATATATATATATATATACACATATACACACACACACACATATATATATATATATACATATATACACACACACACACACACACACACACATATACACACACACACACACACACATTATATACTTATACACACACACACATATATAGATATATATATACACACACACACACACACACACACACACATATACACATATACACACACACACACACACACACACATATATATACACACACACACACACACATACCCACACACAGTTATTTAACTTGGTAAACGAATACACACAGAGTCCCTCTATAGATCTCTCCGTTTAGATAAACAATATATTTATATTAAAAAAATAAATAAATAAATATCTATCTCCAATTGATAGAAAAAGCTAATAAAAATTTAGAGATAATCAATACGATAAGATATTATAAAGGTAACAAGGCTGATAAAATGCTTTCAAACAGGATTAAAAAAAAGAAAAAAAAAAAAGATAAAAAAAATGTATTTATAAAACGTCTCCAGACAAAATAGGTAAAGCATTCATTCAGCACTTTCTATCAAACTCTATATTCCCTACCTAAAGGGGCTACTCGAATAGAAATTTCAGAATACTTTAAGAACAATATATTTCCAAAGCTAAGTAGGCATGGGAGGAGATTAATAAACCATTCTCTATTCATGAATAATTCATAGAATAGATAGCTTGAACATTAACAAGTCCCCTGGATTAGATGTCTATAATTACTTTTTTTTTAAAAAACATTTCCGAATGTCCGAATAGCTGAATTGCCGAAGTTCTAAAATTGTCAAAGTGCCGAAGTGTCAAAGTGCCGAAGTACAGTATTGCCTAAGTACTAATATACTTACCCAGTGGAAGAGTTAAGAATGTTACACTGTATACAAGTTTAAATAAAAAGTATACAAACATAGCCAGGATTCAGCTGTAAGCATTTGCAGCCTGTGGCTGCTCATTGTAAAAAAAAGAAAAACCTGAAGGGGGGTACCTATTGTTCTCCCCCCAGCCCCCACCCCTATGCGGCGGGTGGGGGCCCTAAAGTAAAATAATGGGGGGGGTGGACCTATAGCGGTGGGTGGGGGCCCTAAATCAGAATAAGGGGGTGCCTATTGTCCTCCACCCTGGCCCCCACCCCTGAGCAGTGGGTGGGGACCCTAAATTATAATAAGGGGGGGGACCTAATGTCCTCCCCCTGGACCCCACCCCTGAGCAGTGGGGGCCCTAAGTGGGTGGGGGCCCTAAATACCATTTGGGGGGGACGTAATGTCCTCCCACCTGGCCCCCACCCCTGCAATTAGGCTCTGAGCACTCTGATTGGTGGATTTCAATCTAACCAATCAGAGTGCTCTGACAGGTAAATGAAGAGACTGACAGGTAAGTCTCTACATTTACCTGTCACAGTACTCTGATTGGTTAGCTTGAAATCCACCAATCAGAGTGCTCTGTGTCATTTTACACAGCGTGGGAAAGTTCTTTGGAATTTTCCCACCAGAGTGCTCTGAGCCTAATTGCAGGGCGGGGCAAGACTATTTAAGCCTTGCCTTGCCCCGCCCTGCAGTGCTCAGTCTGCGCGGAGCCCTCCATGGGTGAAGATGGATTTTTTTTTTTTTTTTACAGTGCGTCGGTAATTATGGATTTTTATTTGGCCTTTTTGGGGGCTGAAAAAATAAGATTTTAGAAGAAAGAAAACATGGTAAGTTTTTTGTTTTTTTTTACAAGTACTTAGTTAATGCCCCCCCCCCCCCTCATTATTTTTAGGGTGAAGGGGGTAGGTAGGGGTTAGTTTTTTTGGGAGGGGGTGACTAGGGTTTTGGGGACCCCTAGTCACCTGGGGGGGTTAAATTTTTATTTAGGGCCCCCACCCGCCGCTCAGGACATTAGGTCCCCCCTTATTCTAATTTAGGGCGCCCACCCACCGCTCAGGCTGCTCAGGGGTGGGGGCCAGGGCGGAGTACATTAGGTACCCCCCCTTATTGGTATTAAGGGCCCCCACCCACCACTCAGGGGTGGGGGCCAGGGGGGGGGAGGACATTAGGTCCCCCCCTTATTCTAATTTATGGCCCCCACACACCGCTCAGGGGTGGGGGCCAGAGGGGAGGACATTAGGTACCCCCCCTTATTGGTATTTAGGGCCCCCACCCACCGCTCAAGGGTGGGGGCCAGGGGGGAGGACATTCGGTTCCCCCCCTTTTCTAATTTAGGGCCCCCACCCACGGCTCAGGGGTGGGGGCCAGGGGGGAGGACATTCGGTTCCCCCCCTTATTCTAATTTAGGGCCCCCACCCGCCACTCAGGAGTGGGGGCCGGGGGAAGGACAATAGGTCCCCCCCCATTATTTTAATTTAGGGCACCCACCCGCCATTCAGGGGTGGGGGCCAGGGGGGCAATAGGGGGACCCTTTTTAAAAAAAAAAAAAAAGGGCTGCTCACTGTTTAACAGACATGCCCCTACTCGTGGTATAGCGAGTAGGGGCAACATTTACTAATAGTAAGTAATCTTTACTTAGTATTAATAAATTTAGCTGAAAGACCGTGGGAATTAGGGAGTTATCTACTAAGCAGCTGCAAGAGAAGTCCCAAAGTGCCAAAGTCCCGAAATGCCGAACCGAAGTCTCGAATTGCCGAAGTCACGAGTTTCGGAATGCCGAACCGAACATTTTCCCCATGCACATGCCTAATTGATGAAAACATTAAATGAAATTGTAGATAAAGGGGAATTACCAGAAGAGATGTTAAAAGGGAACATAACCCCTATTTTAAAATCAGGGAAAGACCCTACTGACATAGTAAACTACAGACCTATTTCACTATTGAATATAGATTCTAAGCTATATGCAGGTATAATTGCTGATAGGATCAAAAATAATATAAAAGATCTGGTTCATAATGATCAGGTAGGTTTTATTAATGGGAGAGCCTCTTCAAACCATATAAGGAGTCTAATGAACTTATACGAAGATGCAGAGAAAAGACAGATATCCCAGCTGACAATGTCATTAGATGCCGAAAAGGCGTTTGACAGAGTTAGCTGGGATCTCCCAAGAGAGACCTTGCAGGCTTTTGGGAAGAGTGGTAGGGTCAGCTGTTAAATCTGACTGGTTCCAAATTACAAACGGAACAAGGCAGGAGTGTCCTCTGTCTCCTCTCCTGGATATTCTGTCGTTGGAACCATTAGTTAGGGAGATTAGAGCCAACAAGGATATTAAAGGAGGCTCAGAACATCAAAAAATTCAACTTTATGCAGACGACATCTTATTGATACTGGAAAACCAGATTATAAAGGAATATGCTCAATCCCAATTACTAACCCATGCAATAATAACACAAAATGAAAAGTCTAAAACAGAAGGGTGGTATGCATTAGAACAAGGGGCGGAAGGTATAGACAAGGAACTAGCATGGTTATTTTGGGAACCTTATTAAAATAAAAAGGCTCTCAAAGGAGAAGGAAGTCTAACCCTACGTCAAATTTTAGCTAACTGGAAGACGACCAAAAAGAAACTTGACATCTAAAGTTCGATTGTATCTTGCCTCCATGTTAGCTACATTATCTACTTAACTAAAGAGCTAGACCTGTCTTTATGGGAATTAAAAGGAGTAAAATATATAAAAGTGATCTCCTGGAAAACAAGGAAATAAAACCCTTGAACACTATACAGAGAGAAGTTAGCCTAACACGGAGGAACACATTTAAATATTTAAGAGTGAAGGGTATAATATCAAAATATAATTAGAGAGGTTACTTCTGAAGAGCTCCAACTTTTGAGCAAACTAATCCAACAGTAGGACTTTAAAAATTTAGTAACTAAGTGCTTAGAATTGAGAAGACTATAAAAAAAAAAAAAATGAATTGCCTCCTCTGACACTTAAAAAATGGGAGCTAGAACTACGATTGGTAATAACGCTACCAGAACGGAATAGATCCTTAAAAATGACCTATAGCAACATCCATTGTTTAAACTTAAACGAGTTACAACTTAAGCTGAACAGATGGCATTTAGTACCAGAAAGAATTGCTAAAATGTATATAAATAATACACATTTATGCTGGAGATCTGGCTCCCCCCCCGCACCCCCCTCCAAAAAAAAAAAAAAAAAGAGAAAATAAGCAAATCTTAAATATTAATCCCAGCAAAAGCCTTGACAGAAAAAGAAAAAATCATAAAGACAGAAACAATTCAAATAAGACTTTAAGCCCTTCATCTTCTTTTCATAAATCTGTAATATTTGTTAAGCTTTGGCATTCTTACGAATAGACGATGAATCAGAGTTCACACTGCCTGGTATTTAGTGATATTGTTTGCACTTATATTTTTTTTTATGTGTTTTTTTTTATGTGAGGCACCCACCAATATCATGACAGTGGGAAATCTCCCCCATATACTCAAAAACTAGACATTGCATGAAAAACTGCAAAGTCTGCTATCAAACACTCCATGTAGCTACCGATCAGTCTTTGCAACAGCTAGAAGGAACATTTTATACATTTGTAAGTTTCCAAAACATTACATCTATTTTTCTCAACCACAATGACTTGATAATTTGTATTGAAACTGTGTTTTAGCTCATGGGACATGGCCTTGCATCTCCCATATCAATTTTTATGTACAATCCATGGTTTTCAATTGAAAGCTTGCAGTCAAGCACCTAAAAATTAAATAAATAAATTTAAAAAAAAAAACAAACTTTTTTTTTCCCAAAATCAGGACACGGTTATTACCAAGCTTGACCACTAGAATAAAGTCTTTAATAGTAAATTACTGCAATTTCGAATGTATGCATCATGCACTGAAAGCTGAATGTTGCCAGATTTATGTCCTAACCACAAACCACTGAGTCTGCGTGGCACATGCAACGTCCGATGACTAGAAGAAGCACAGCTTTGAGCAGCTGCGTCGTACAAGACAAAATATAGATTTGAGAATGAGAACGAGGCAGTGACAAACACATGAACGGGAGCAAATACATGTGGATGATATTGGCCAATTAAACGGAGGGAGGACAGTAAAAATGCTATGTCGCTTAACCTATCGCTCCAACTTTGCTAGTCTGTCATCTGATAATCGGAGACAAGCAACCAGTGGAATGGAAAAAGAGGGGGCAATTGACATAGGGAAGGGAAAGGTGCACACCCTCCCAAACACATACACTCTTGCACACACTCATGTCTTTCACATAGTGTCCCTTAACACACAGGCCAGAAGAGTAGGTGTGGACTTTTGAGCCCTGATACACACGTGACTATAACTACATCAAAGTTAAACTCTGTAAAACTTTTAAAGTATAATAAGGCGGCAGCACAAATTAATCCCACCAGAAAATGTGAGTACTTTCATTTCAATGCAATGTTTGTAAGACTTGAATAAAATGTTGGTCACATTATTCTAAGGCAATACGCCAGGAGAGCAGACAACGCTCTGAATCATAATTCATCCACCCAAAATGTAAACAGCAATGGAGGTTGTTTGCAGTTTGGTAAAGAAGCAGAATTTTCAATAATCAGTCATAACATTTTTTTTAAATCTGAATATATAATCATACACTACACTCCCCAGACAAAACCTGCCATCTGTTACAGAAAACAGAAATAGGCATCGTATGACATGATGCTGCAATTATAGAGCTTTTATAGGATGTTGACAATGACACATTTCCCACATCCTGTTACTGACAGCACATTGATCACGTGTGTGTGATATTATTACGCACCTTTGCGGGCAAAAAAATAAAAAAAATAAAAAAATTTTAAATACTTTTGCAAGTACTTTAGATCTGAAATGGTTTTAAGCCTTTCAAGTTCCCTATCTGGCCACATTTTTTAAGGTTGCAGATGCCTCCTGTTCATCATTGTGAAGTGGGTTCCTTGGCAGTCTGTGTGGGCTGCAGAGATCGTTGAAGGTTCTAAATAGTGTGGTAGGTTGTGTTTGTGCATAGTAATTAGGGTTCTGATGAAACCGCAGCTATACCTGCTCAACACACCAGTTAGGTGATTAGCACAGTCTGAAGACTGGCTTTAGCTGCTATTGGCTCCTAAGAATAAGATTGCCAGATAATAGAGAAGAATTCAGACTTTCACTTTTACTCAGGTTACAGTATCTTCGTGGGTAAGAGTTTGTAATTTGCATACATAACACGTTTACTCATACCTGAATTGTTCGACAAATGCTCCCAAAAGCTCCCTAAGGTACACAATAATGTAATGCAGTATGCAGCTAACACATTTGGCACTATTGCCCACCCAATCTAATGATTCAGAGAGTCCCATGGTGTACAACTGATCTAAATGAGATGAAGAGAGAACTGCATACGTGGGGATGTGGTTAGAAGTGTTCAGATTTTGATTTTAAAACACCAGTACACAAAAATGTGTACCATAAGCACTGTTTTATTTCCAACAAGGTAATGCCAAGGGTTCTTTGCAGACAGAATTAAATATAAGCGACATTTGATCCTAGCATGTTTTACCATATCCTGCCTTCACGCCGTGCGTCCGGACTAGTTATAGGTTTTACTGCTCATTCACGTTGGCAAATTCTAGCCAGTATGCAACCAACAACCTGTGGGTTGGACTGTTGAATCGCAATGGGGTTTAGGGAATTTGCTGACCCTATAGGTTCCTCTACTGGAGAAAACCATCAGCTTGTTATTTAAAGAGTGTTATATTGTGCCTATAGGAGGCATGTTTGTTCCTGAAGACACATTATATATATATATTATCCAGTATTATCCGTTGAAGGCCCAATCTCCAACCTCCACTTTTAGAGGTTCAAATGTTTAGTTTAAGTTCTGGCCCACCAAGAGAGAGTTGGTGTGACCCACAAAAGATCTTCATCACGCCATCTCATGATGATTAGGTTTTGAGTTGCCCTCGATATCAGCGCTGTGAGCCGGACAGGGTACACATGCTCATGCAATTTCAGAATGCTGACTAATTTAGTATACATGGCACGGCCTGTCTGTCATGCTTCCCTGCAAGGCATGTCATGTAAATTAAAAGTACAAATTACTGACAAACTGAGAATAAAACACAACTCAAAAACTAAATTTAGTTAATAACTGGGTAGTTGGGTAATCTCAGCAGCGACAGTTCGCTTGAAATACTTTTGAAGGTATTTTAGTGATGTTGGGGGAGGAACACCAAAAGTGACTTTTGCTTGGGGTGGCATTTGGTCAGAGACCAGTCTTGTACGTATGACATGTCAAAAATAAATAGAAAATGTTAACAGGTTATATATAATATATACACACACACACACACACAAATGTATTGCACACGATTCATTTCAGGTAGATTATCAGTAATTATAGTATCATTCTCACATAGTAGATTGATGCCATTATGATTCATTGTGCCAACTTAGTCCTCTCTGCCTTCCATTCACTCCCACTGTCCCTCCTGATCTACTCAGTGTTGGCAGCCAGGCTGAGTGAGTGCATACTCACAATGTCCCCCCTGATCCTTGCAGTGATGGCTGAGCGCACACTCATGATGTCACCATTCACTCCCCTGTCCTTTCTGAGCCTTGCAGTGACAGCAGCCAGACTGAGTGCACACTTACAATATCACCATTCACTCCACGTCCCTCCTGATCCTTGCAGTGACAGCAGCCAGGCTGGCTGAGTGCACACTCACTGCCCCCTGATCCTTGCTATCCAGGCTGGCTGAGTGCACACTCACTGTCCCGATCCTTGCTATCCAGGCTGGCTGAGTGCACACTCACTCCCCCCCGATCCTTTCATTGGTGGCTATCCAGGCAGGCTGAGTGCACACTCACTCCCCCCTGATCCTTTCATTGGTGGCTATCCAGGCAGGCTGAGTGCACACTCACTCCCCCCTGATCCTTTCATTGGTTGCTATCCAGGCTGGCTGAGTGCACACTCACTGCCCCCTGATCCTTTCATTGGTGGCTATCCAGGCTGGCTGAGTGCACACTCACTCCCCCCTGATCCTTTCATTGGTGGCTATGCAGGCTGGCTGAGTGCACACTCACTCCCCCCTGATCCTTTCATTGGTTGCTATGCAGGCTGGCTGAGTGAACACTCACCCCCCCATTCTTTCATTGGTGGCTATCCAGGCTGGCTGAGTGCATACTCACTCCCCTGATATCCAGGCAGGCTGAGTGCATACTTACAATGTCACCATCCACTCCCCCTCCAGCAGCGCTGACCAGTTTCCTGCAGTGACAGCTCTCACTGTGCCCGCTGCCGGGGCCCCATTCACCGTCTCGCAGCCGCCGGGCACCCAGAGCAGCCCAGCCAGGGCCAGCACGGCCAGCCCGGGGTGGGCAGACACGGAGCCAGGCCTCAGCCCGGAGTGGGCAGCTCGCACCGCGATCCTCCAAGACCCAACCATGGCGGCAGAGCAGGCAGCCTCAGCCTCGCCAGACCAGGAAGTGCAACAGCTCTCCTCGGTAACCCCTGCACTGCCAGCGGCCGGGGGAGGAGGGGGGAGAGAGGGAGGGGACACGGTGACACCACCACTACCACAATAATAACAATAATACCCCCGAGTAACCCCGGCACTGCCAGCGGCCGCGGGAGGAGGGGGGAGAGAGGGAGGGGACACGGTGACACCACCACTACCACAATAATAACAATAATACCCCCGAGTAACCCCGGCACTGCCGGCCGGGAGAGGGAGGGAGGGGACACGGTGACACCACCACCACTACCACAATAATAATAATAATAATACCCCCGGGTAACCCCTGCACTGCCAGCGGCCGGGGGAGGAGGGGGGAGAGAGGGAGGGGACACGGTGACACCACCACTACCACAATAATAACAATAATAATAATAATACCCCCGAGTAACCCCTGCACTGCCAGCGGCCGGGGGAGGAGGGGGGAGAGAGGGAGGGGACACGGTGACACCACTACCACAATAATAATAATAATACCCCCGAGTAACCCCTGCACTGCCAGCCCCGGCCGCCGGGGGAGGGGGGAGAGAGGGAGGGGACACGGTGACACCACCACTACCACAATAATAATAATACCCCCGAGTAACCCCTGCACTGCCGGCCGGGTGATACTGAGCAGGGTGACACCACCACAATAATACCCCCAGGAGGGCACACAGCACAATATTAATACCCCCAGGACGGCACACAGCACAATATTAATACCCCCAGGACGGCACTCCACAGTAATAATAATAATAATACCTCCAGGAGGGCACACAGCACAATAATAATACCTCCAGGAGGGCACACAGCACAATATTAATACCCCCAGGACAGCACTCCACAGTAATAATAATAATAATACCTCCAGGAGGGCACACAGCACAATATTAATACCCCCAGGAGGGCACACAGCACAATAATAATACCTCCAGGAGGGCACACAGCACAATATTAATACCCCCAGGACAGCACTCCACAGTAATAATAATAATAATACCTCCAGGAGGGCACACAGCACAATATTAATACCCCCAGGAGGGCACACAGCACAATAATAATACCCCCAGGAGGGCACACAGCACAATATTAATACCCCCAGGACGGCACTCCACAGTAATAATAATAATAATAATAATACCTCCAGGAGGGCACACAGCACAATAATAATACCCCCAGGAGGGCACACAGCACAATAATAATACCCCCAGGAGGGCACACAGCACAATATTAATACCCCCAGGACGGCACTCCACAGTAATAATAATAATAATAATAATAATACCTCCAGGAGGGCACACAGCACAATAATAATACCCCCAGGAGGGCACACAGCACAATATTAATACCTCCAGGAGGGCACACAGCACAATATTAATACCCCCAGGACAGCACTCCACAGTAATAATAATAATAATACCTCCAGGAGGGCACACAGCACAATATTAATACCCCCAGGAGGGCACACAGCACAATATTAATACCCCCAGGAGGGCACACAGCACAATACTAATACCCCCAGGACGGCACTCCACAGTAATAATAATAATAATAATAATAATACCTCCAGGAGGGCACACAGCACAATATTAATACCCCCAGGAGGGCACACAGCACAATATTAATACCCCCAGGACGGCACTCCACAGTAATAATAATAATAATAATAATAATAATAATACCTCCAGGAGGGCACACAGCACAATAATAATACCCCAGGAGGGCAGAGATGGGGCTAATGTCATATATCTATATGAGGGGTGGCTTATCCCTGGGTCTTTACTTATTATGGACTGCCATTCCCACAGCAAGACTCTGGCTGACATGCAATGTCCAGTAACCCCAGCATTGAAACAATCTGAAGTCATAGAAAGGGGGATTACTAAGTAATATCCTCCTACCCTTTAACGTGGGGGGTTACTTTTTTTTAGTTTATGCTGGTGACAGACCACTTAGAGTGTATTTTTTCAAGTGTATTTCTAAATAAATCCACTTGGATTTGGAAATATAAACAAACAGCTCCTGCTGTCGGAGCTATAAACGAGAAGGATGCAACAGACTCCTATATGGCTGCCTTTGGGCATTGAGGGAGGAGATGGAGTGAAATGAGGCTTAAACAGCAATTTATTGATCAGATATGCACAATATGGAGCAAAGGTAAACATAACACAGACCCCCAGGTGTAGCCCTACAACCAACTGGATACATACTGGGTTTGTAGTTTAACAACTGGGTGCCTCCTCTTGTGCAGTATGAGCTCATGCTGAAGAGCTAAATGTATTTTGGAGTGGACTCCAGAGACTAGTTATGGACCAATAACTCAGATTTCAACATGCCTCCTTTATATATTAATAAGTTGATCTACTAGATCCAGGGGTTCATCTAAATGGGTAGCAATATGATACATCAACACCGATCACTGATGAAAAAATAAACAAGTAGCATATGGCCAGGTCTGTGCAAAATCAAAGAGGGATGCTCCTCATTGCTTATTTATCATCATTTAATTTTAAACAGGATATTTTTTATTCATAGACAATAAAACACATATGGCATGCATATGACATACGCAGTCACTCACAGACATCCAATCCCGTCATTATACAAGTACAAACACACCGACAGGGATATTTAATAAGCGAAAATTATTGGGGATTCAAAGTAAGTTTTACATTTTAGACACAAATAAACTAATTGTAGAAATTCTGACTTCAATTTTGCAATTCTAGACTAAAATTCTGAATTTTCTGAATAACAACCACATTTACACTTTCAGATAGATTTAAACACTCTTACAGACAGTCACAGACAAAGTAACAGAAATCGATTCACTCAAGGAGTGTGCCTCGTGGGCCCTGACACACCCAAGCCCAATGCATGGCCAAACTGCCCTTCTTATTAGGTCTAAATGTACTCTTTACAGTTTGATGCATCTCAGTATTTGGCTATACATAAACAAAACAACTGATTTCATTTGTAGTTATCAGGTTATCACTAGAATACTTATTTTATATTGCATGTTGGTATATTAAAGTAGCCTTTTGTAGAAGTTGTGATGCCAGAAGTCCATTTGCGCAGTCCTCCAATATGAGGTTAAACCGTTTTTGAATGGTTTGCCACTTACCTTCCAGTCTTCACAATACAACAAGACAAACACTTTGATTTAGCTTTGTCTACTTTGTGTAACGTTTAACGACCTTTATTGTTGGCACTTGTGCACGACATTATGTTTGTGAATGTGTCCTATGGTCAGAAACATGGTGCTTCACGGAACAGAAGCCTTAAAGGGCCACTGCACGTACCATAAAAAGCTATAGAGAACCCTGATTCCAGTGTCCATGCTCAGTGTAGCTTTTAACGAAAGCAAAGAATATGAGAGCTCTGGGAACGAACAACAGCTTAGAAAAACTTAGTAGCTTGCCCTTTGGTAATTTCACGCTCAGGTCTCAAAATAGTTTTTGCTTACTTGTGTCATTACAGAGAAAACATATCAGACTAATCCCATCTGTAAAGGCAGTCCAGAACCGAAATGCCAGCAAGTCCACTCTGCACGGGAGATACAGCAACCCCTGACGATCAATTCGGCCTTCATTGGGCCTTGTCAGTAAGCTGTTAGCTGATAACCCTCTAGGTATAGTGAGCACGGAGAGCCATGTTAGTGCATTGTAACAAAACCAAAGAATATGAGAACTCAGAGGACAGCTTCTAGCTGTAATAATTTGCAAATATCAGTGCAGCTATGAGACTGCCCCACTACTCCCCCGGTCAGTGACATCAAAGGAGGACTATTATTTCTTCCTGTGCTGTCCAAGACCTACCCGTATTGTGCGTGCGGTGTGCATGCGCTGTTGATGCAGCTAAGAGCTCATCTCTCTCTCCTTTCTCCAAGTCTGGAGAAAGCCAGAGTCACGTCAATGCAGGTACATGATAGGCAGCTGTGTAGTTTGCTGCACACATCCCAGTTTACAAAACATGTTTTTGTAAAATGTGAATGGAACTGATAGTAGTTTCTGTGGACAAACTGATAGCAGACTGATAGCTTACTCAGCACTTGCACTCATCCTACTACAACTTGTGGCTAAACGACATATCATATAAACCTAATGTATTAAGATGTCACAGGATGATGTTCTGCCTTGCACAGAAATTTATTTATTTATAATTCAATATTTCAGAGAATTTATTCACTAAAAACATAATTAACTAAAAAACAATAATAAAAAAAAAATCTCTCTCTACAATAACCAAACCATTATTTATTTTCACTCTCGCTAAGCTTGCAATATATAACTAGCATATATCAAGGTTTATTCTGTATACGATCTGTCCGTATAGTTACAATAAGCATTGATATACTTAAATTAATTGATGTCTCCATGAACAACTGTATTAATGTCGTTATCAAATTATGACATCAGTGGATTGTGATAACACAATACAAGCAGCATCCAGTAATTCAGACAAAATATATATCTTTCGAAGCATTTGATCCAGGCTTTGTCACACAGTAGCAACGGTACAGCATAAAATATACATCACTCTTAATTATACAGTTATTGCAGTTATATAGGTAGATCAGCAAATATCCCAGAAGGAATTAAGACAGCACTGTAAAGTATATAATGCATTAATTAAGAAAAAGCGTTCCCTGCATGCTTTGGCATGTGGGATATTATCCTGCGATTTATCCCACATACTTCATCCTGCAATGGTTGGTAGTTGGGGAGAGGGTTATTCACCAAAATTGTCAGCTGAAAACCGAATTACAATATTCAGATCAATAACTGTGTTGGAGAAATTCTTTAACTGAGCTTTAGTTACAACCGTTTTGCCTAAAATTTACAATTTAGACCAGTTTTCAAATAACAAGAATTCAGTGTTTAGTGAACAAACTCCAGACAAAATGTAAAAAAAAATATGCTAGCCCCATTTTCTGAATTAATTAATTTCTGGTATATATTACGGTGATACAAGGAATTGAAAATATGAAAACATGAAGTGGTCTGTGGATTCCTTTTTAAATTTTTGCTCTTTATTATATATAGACGCTGAACATAGTTGCAGCACACAGTGCAGCACTAAACTAGGAAGCACCTCTAGTGGTCGTCTGAGTG